TTGAGATAGGGTGGGTGGGTGGGGCTTATGTTTTGCCCTGTCTTCTTAATATACATACTCTTTTTCCCACAACAAGAAACATAAACATGTTCAAAATTTTTGTAGGGAAATATGTATTTTGAAATTACGCTCTGCCTTTTGGTCTGACAACGAATAAAAAATTCATCACAACTGAGATTGGGACTTTTATTTAGTTACTTATAGTTTTATTTGAGCAACACGGTAGTTAAATAAGTTTTCAGTTTTTTGTTAGGAAAAGATTCCGTATATTAAAAAAAAATGAACAAAATATAAGCCCCGCCCACCCACCCCCTCGCAAATGTGATGATTTTTTTTATTCATCATGAGCCGAGGGCAGAGCTTAGCTACAAAATCCTCATTTCTCCATAAGAAATTACCATGTGAAATATATTCTTGAAAGAGTCAAATTTTGGAAAGAAATATGGATTTTGCAATTAAACTCGGCCGCTCGGTCTAACAACGAATAAAAAAAATCATTACAATTGAGATAGGGTGGGTGGGTGGGGCTTATGCTTTGCCCTGTCTTCTTAATATACATACTCTTTTTCCCACAACAAGAAACATAAACATGTTCAAAATTTTTGTAGGGAAATATGTATTTTGAAATTACGCTCTGCCTTTTGGTCTGACAACGAATAAAAAATTCATCACAACTGAGATTGGGACTTTTATTTAGTTAGTTATAGTTTTATTTGAGCAACACGGTAGTTAAATAAGTTTTCAGTTTTTTGTTAGGAAAAGATTCCGTATATTAAAAAAAATGAACAAAATATAAGCCCCGCCCACCCACCCCCTCGCAAATGTGATGATTTTTTTTATTCATCATGAGCCGAGGGCAGAGCTTAGCTACAAAATCCTCATTTCTCCATAAGAAATTACCATGTGAAATATATTCTTGAAAGAGTCAAATTTTGGAAAGAAATATGGATTTTGCAATTAAACTCGGCCGCTCGGTCTAACAACGAATAAAAAAAATCATTACAATTGAGATAGGGTGGGTGGGTGGGGCTTATGTTTTGCCCGGTCTTCTTAGTATACATACTCTTTTTCCCACAACAAGAAACTTAAACATGTTCAAAATTTTTGTAGGGAAATATGTATTTTGAAATTACGCTCTGCCCTTTGGTCTAACAACGAATACAAAATTCATCACACTTGAGATCGGGACTTTTTTTAGTTACTTATAGTTTTATTTGAACAACACGGTAGTCAAATAAGTTTTCAGTTTCTTGTTAGGAAAAGATTTCGTATATTAAAAAAAAATGAACAAAATATAAGCCCCACCCACCCACCCCCTTTCAATTGTGATGATTTTTCTTATTCATCGTGAGCCGAGGGCGGAGTTTAGTTACAAAATCCTCGTTTCTCCATAAGACATTACCATGTGAAATATGTTCTTAAAAGAGTAAAATTTGCAGAGAAATATGGATTTTGCAATTAAACTCCGCCGCTCGGTCTAACAACGAATAAAAAAATCATTACAATTGAGATAGGGTGGGCTTATATTTTGCTCTTTCTTCTTAATATACATAGTCTTTTTTCACAACAAGAAACTTAAAACATGTTGAAAATTTTTGTAGGGAAATATGTATTTTGAAATTACGCTTGGCCCTTTGGTCTGACAACGAATAAAAATTCATCATAATTGAGATCGGGACTTTTTTTAGTTACTTATAATTTTATTTGAACAACACGGTAGTTAAATAAGTTTTCAGTTTCTTGTTAGGAAAAGATTCCGTATATTAAAAAAAATTAACAAAATATAAGTCCCGCCCACCCACCCCCTCTCAATTGTGATGATTTTTTTATTCATCATGACCCGAGGGCGGAGCTTAGTTACAAAATCCTCATTTCTCCATAAGAAATTACCATGTGAAATATATTCTTGAAAGAGTAAAATTTTGGAAGAAAATATGGATTTTGCAATTAAACTCCGCCGCTCGGTCTGACAACGAAAAAAAAATCATTACAATTGAGATAGGGTGGGTGGGTCGGGCTTATATTTTGCCCTTCCTTCTTAATATACATAGTCTTTTTTTCACAACAAGAAACTTAAACATGTTCAAAATTTTTGTAGGGAAATACGTATTTTGAAATTACCTCTCGGTCTGACAAAGAATAAAAAATTGATCACAATTGAGATTGGGACTTTTTTTAGTTACATATAGTTTTATTTAAACAACACAATAGTTAAATATGTTTTTAGTTTCTTGCAATGTACGAAATATGAAAACTGTCTTTGTATAACATGTCCTACATGGTAATTTCTTGTAGAGAAATAATAAGGATTTTGCAATTCATCTCCGCCCCTCGGCTCACGATGAATAAAAAAAATCATCAGAATCGGGATAGGGTGGGTGGGCGGGGCTTATATTTTGGATTTTTTTTCTAAACATACATATCTATCGTTTTACAACAAGAAACTTAAAACATGGTTAAAATGGTACATTTTTGCGAGGAAATGTGGATTTGGCAATTATGGGGCGGAGTCTAATTGCAAATCGATATTTCGTTGTAAAAATTTTCAATTTTAAACATGTTTTAAGTTTCATGTTGTGCAAGGAAGTCTACACGTATTAAAACAAAAAGGCAAAGTGTAGCCCTATTTCAATTGTGATGATTTTTTTTATTCGCCGTGAACCAAGCGGAGCTTAACTGCAAAATACTTATCTTTTTACAAGAAATTATAAACATGTTTTTGAGCATCGTGTTGTTCAAAGAATACTATGTATATTAAAAAAATGCAAAATATACACCCCGCCCACCCACCCCATCTCAATTGTGATGATCTTTTTTTATACTTAGAAACTTAAAACACGTTTAAAATTGTACATTTTTTTAAAGAAATATGGATTTTGCAATTAGGTTCCTCCCCTAGGTCTGCCAACGAATGAAAACTTCATTGCTATTTAGGTCAGGGCAGGTATGGGTGGGACTTAATCTTTGGCTTTAATGATTTCTTATTATACATAGTATTCTTTGAATAACACGATATGCAAAAACAGGTCTTACATGGTATTTTCATGTAGAGAAATAATCTCTATAATAATAATCAATAATAATAATACGATGGTCAAAAACATATCTTACATGGTGATTTCTTGTAAAGAGATAATAAGGATTTTGCAGTTAAGCTCCGCCCCCTTGGCTCACGACGAATAAAAAAAATCATTACAATTGAGATAGGGCGGGTGGGCGGGGCTTATATTTTTCCTGCCGGTACGAAGGTATGAGTGCATACTTATGGTCATCGTTAGGCACAGCCGAAGTGGTCAATCAGACACATATTAAAAACGACGCCGCGACGTCAAGCGATAAATTTGGCTGGCCGACTGTGTAGTTCCAACCTTAGTGGCGTTTGATGCAGTTCATGATCTGATCAGGATCATGACGAAAATTGTGATGTTGAACAGTCATTTTTAATTCTTAAACCATTTTAACATCTAGGAGAACTCGTAGAACTGAGGAAAACCTAGAAAAAGTAGTAAGACTTCTCGAAGTTGTAGGCCACGACTGCGGCAATGAGAGAAGTTTGCTTATGGTACTTCTCCCTGCCTCTACAAAATTAAAAACCCAGTGATAGTTGTCCTCGGGTCTGCGCGGTACAACTCAATGCGGAACTACGGAACATTAGTACCGTTACAAGATATTTCAGTTCTATGATCAGTTACAACTAAAAATTAGAAAAAAAACAGTTAACTTTTTTAGTAAAACGGGCGGCGATTATCAGCGGCTATGCGCTTGAGAGCGTACTTATGGTACTTCTGACTGCCTCTAGAAAATTAGAAACCCAGTGACTGATTCTTTTAGTAAAATTAGTATACTTTCGTAGGGCTCTGAGAGCTAATCCTAATGTCAGTGGAACGGAAGGAGCTACGAGGTTCCGGTTTTCTTTGGTATTGTCGATCTCGTTGCTTTAAATTCTCCTTTAAACAACCAATAATGCCCATTTTTGACGTTCCAAACTTTGTGAAAACTGTAGTGGAAGAACAGAGCTGACTGACATATTAATGAGAGAGCGGGTGCGAGAGAGATAGAAAGAGAGAGTTTGTTGAAATAAAAATAAAGTTTTTGAAAAGGCAAAATGGCGTGGGTTTGCTTTAATCCAGCGTTCCTTTCAGCGCCATCTTGTCAAGAAATTGAAAATTGCGTCGTTTTGCACAATAATGAGGAATGTAAATCTGCAAACGCCTACCACGTCGCAATTTTAAGCGGAGAAGACAAACATAGCAAACTAAGTTATCTCGATGTATTTGTTATTCTATTAATGACATCGCCGGTTTGTTTGTTTGGTAGCAATCGGAATAACTACGGCCAACATAATTTTGTATTTTGGACAAAAGCAAATATGGCCTAACCCATAGCTTGAGCCTGATAAACCCGATTATCCGATTTAATGCGTACACTAGTCCGTGAAAGCAACGTCATACTGGCGATTGAAACAATCAAATATGCAAGCATGGCTAGCCTTCGGCTTCCTTCACCCATAGGGAATTACCTCCAGTTATATCCCTCTTCAACGGACTGATTTATTATTCTTTTTGTCAGACGGTGTACAAACATCCATATTAACTCGACTCAACACAATGCTAATAGCGGACGAAATCGCGTTATTTGCTTCGGAGTGGCTCGTCGATGGTCCAAAATGATCCGATTTTTTAGCATGCGCTCCTACACTTGAAACAAGGAGTAATAAACGGAAGCGATAGTCCTAAAGGAAAGGTTTTTATTAATTACGATTTAATGAAGCGATCGTGGGAGACGAATTTGGAAAAAAATGAGAAAGAATATTTAAAATATTGATTAACCTGACAATTCCAGATGACATTTACACAATAGAACGCGGAACGTCAGATTCAACAGATTTAGATTGATTCGCGCACTCGAAGGTTACAAGTTGTGTTAGCGGCACGCATTAAGCAATGAATAAACAACGCCTTTTAACTTTTCATAACATTTATTCAACAATAAATCAACAACAAGCTTCAATTCTACTCACGTAGCTACTTTAAACTAGATCAATAAATAATGAAAGGTGATGCGAGATAACGCGGCTATTTTCTCATACGGTCGAACAGCGAAACGAAAAGTACAATTCTAAGGTTTTGGTTTACTGTATTTAATTTCCGTGACCTGGTCATAAATATCAGAGCCTATCTGATTCTCGGTGGTGGAAGATGGAAGTATTTCCATATCTCCAGGTTTCACTAAAGCCACTCCATCATTTCCCATTCTCATGCAATCGAAATGCAAAACAAGTACAGTTTCTCTCTGAATGCGGGTTTCAAAATCGAAGCACATGTGTAAATTTTGACCCGGAGTATAGATATCGAATAATCTCGCACAGGCTTCGATCGAGATTGGGATGTAAGGTAACGCCATTGGAAGACACACCGGTGAAGGGTTTTTAGCTAAAACCAAAAACCTCGTACACGCAATCAAATTTCGAAATTAGTTTCCATACATACCCGAAACGCTGTTTGTATACACCGAATTTCCATCCATCACCATGTTCATATTGATGGCAAACTCGTAAGGGTCATAGGTAAAATTCATACAACCTGGAACATTGTACACGCACAAAGACTAAAAATTCAATACCCAATCTGTTTTAGTCTTAATTACCTTCCCTATTGAAATTGAACTGGTCTAATTTTAAGCCGAGGCAACAGCCACACGTTAGCTCCTGGCAACTGCATCCATTACTCCTAAAACCAATTCGACGGAGAACTCCCCTAGACTTTGTAGATGATTGGTCATTCGCACTTGACGCGTTCGTCAAGCTGTTCTCAATAGACGTCATTCGAAAAGGAATGTGAGTTTTGGGGTCGTAGTATACCATCATTGATTCCACATTACTCTCTGAAACATATAACGAATTAATGTGCCGACCTTGCCAGATTCGCGCCTCCGACACCCCCATTTCCCTCGTCGCAGCAAAAAACGCACACTCGATATTAATTAAAGCAAGATTTTTTATAAATAAAATAAATAACAACGGATTTTACAAAAAGCCTTGTGTTTTCGTGTTTGGTAAAATCGGTCCGTCACAATACCCCCTTATTAAAAAAAAAAAATTTCGCGCGATTCACTAGGCATGGAATAAACTTAAAGTGGCTCTTAAATTACGCGCTTAAAGCTTTTTCCTTGAATGAAACTTTTACTATTTTCCAAATTTGACAAATGTTACATATTTACGATATTGCAGCGGAAAGTGTAGGTTACTCTGCGTGAGAAATTACACACAGCTGAAAGTTCACAACGGCGAAAATACCGAAGGAATAAAAAACAGAACATTTGAATTGATGTGGTTTTATTTTATACATTTACATATAACACCTTATACGTATGGAATAAATCACCGAAACTCGAAGTGTTCACGCATTAACTTACGTGTGTGTGGCCATTTGTTTGGATTTAAATTTAAAATAGATCCGTGCGGAGTAGAAGTCATAAATCGCGATCGATCTCGAATTTTTTACTATGAGAAGCTGGAAAATAATTATCGAGAAACTGATAAAAACATAGAAGCAAAGGAAGCTCGATCAAAGTATCTATCAATTACTGTCATTAAAATTATTTAGAACGTTCGTGCTTGGTTAAAATACATCAAACGTTCCGTAACGACCGCACGACTATCCGGCTTCTAGCGAGTTATTTGAAAATAATTTGCTAAACATCCGCAAAACCAAAACGGCAGCGCCAGCGAATAACAAAATTCGAAATTTTACGTCGAGATGCAATTTCTCGAAACTGACTCGCTTTCTTTATACTTTTATACGTTTCCAAAATCAGACTAGCTACTTTGTTCTCTGCTCTTTGAAACAAAATCGTTTAAATGGCATTTCCCTATCTACCGTTGGGACTGCTCCAAAAATAAATATTGCATGTAATGGTGTTCCGACAATATGTACAAACTTTTAGCAAAATAAGATTTTCTGAGATCCAGATGATAAAAATTTATTTCGTTCATGCAAATGAAGTTGCCGTAAGTGATACAAACGGCCAACTTGGAGCAGAAAACACGTTATGGACGGAATTAAATTTTTTCGAATCTTTTGTTCTTAGCGTTTCAGCACGTTGCAAATCGCCCGGATATTTCCTCGTTGCACGTTTCGGATAATCACCGCTGCATTACCTCCACCGACACCTGAATACCCGATTTTCACAAATGCGAAATTATTAAAATAGTGGACCAGTTTAGAGGAACTAACAAGCTTTCGCGAATCCCTCTAGTACACTCCGTTCAAAAAATTACAATTTACATACTTATATCGGGGTACGCCTGATGGTCAACTAGAACAGAAATTTAAAAAATCACACGATATTTGTTTTTTTACTTATTTATGTAGTCCGTTCAGAAAATTGATATATAATATATAATAAATAAAATTATGTATATATTTTTTTTCCGAAGTTTTATTTTGATAATCGCAGTACATTAAAAAATATACAGCTGTTACGAGTAACAGTGTAAAAAACTAAATGACACCCTGTAAATGTGTTTGGACACCCTTTAGTCTTCTTTGTATAACACGATTACTTAAGAACATATTTCACATGGTAATTTCTCGTAGAAAAATAAGGATTTTACAATTAAGCTCCGCCTCTCAGCTTACAACGAATAAAAAAAAGCATCAGAATTGAAATAGGGTGGGTGGGCGGGGCTTATATTTTGCTGTTTTTTAATATCCATAGCCATTTTTTCACAATAAGAAACTTAAAACATGGTTAAACTGGTCCCTTTCTATAAGCAAATGTGGATTTTGCAAATATGGGGCGGAGGGTAATTGCAAAATCGATATTTCTTTGTACAAGTTTTCAATTTTAAACATGTTTTAAGTTTCATGTTATGAAAAGAAGTCTACATGTATTAAAACAAAAAGGCAAAATGTAAGCCCGCCCACCCGCCCTGTCTAAATTGTGATGAATTTCTTATTCGCTATGAACCAAGGAGGCGGAGCTTAACTGCAAAATACTTATTATTTTACAACAAATTAAAAACATGTTTTCGAGTAACGTGTGGTTCAAAGAATACTATGTATATTAAGAAAAAAAGACAAAATATATACCCCGCCCACCCACCCCATCGCTATTGTGATGTTTTTTTTATTTTTAGAAACTTAAAACACGTTTAAAATGGTACATTTTTGTAAGGAAAAGTGGAGGCGGAGCTTAACTGCAAAATACTTATTTTTTTACAACAAATTAAAAACATGTTTTCGAGTAACGTGTGGTTCAAAGAATACTATGTATGTTAAGAAAAAAAAACAAAATATTAACCCCGCCCACCCACCCCCTCTCAATTGTGATGAATTTTTTATTCTTACAAACTGAAAACATGTTGAAAATGGTCAATTTTTGTAAGGAAATATGAATTTTGCCATTAGGCTCCGCCCCTAGGTCTGCCAACGAATGAAAACTTCATTACTATTTAGATCAGAGCAGGTATGGTTGGGGCTTAATCTTTGGCTTTAATGTTTTCTTATTATACATAGTATTCTTTGAATCACACGATATGCAAAAACATGTCTTACATGGTATTTTCTTGTAGAGAAATAATCTCTGGACCATAATACAATACAATTGAGATAGGGCGGGTGGGCGGGGCTTATATTTGCCTTTTTTTTCTTAATATGTGTAGTCATCTTTTCACAACAAGAACCTTAAAACATGTTTCAAATGTTAACTTTGTATAGGGAAATACCGATGAACAACGAATGAAAAATTCATCATGATTGAGATCCAGACCAATGAGTGGGAATTCTCTTTTGATTTTCTTTTTTAATTAGTACATTTAGTTTTCTTTATATAACATGATTACTTAAGAACATATTTCACATGGTAATTTCTCGTAGAAAAATAAGGATTTTACAGCTCCGCCCCTCAGCTTACAACGAATCAAAAAATCATCAGAACTAAGATGGGGCGGGTGGGCGGGGCTTATATTTTGCCTCTTTTGTCTTAATATTCATATATTTTCCAAACAAGAAACTTAACACATGATTAAAATGGTACATTTCTCCAAAGAAGTACCATTTTAATTATCTGTTAAGTTTCTTGTTATGAAGAGAAGTCTACACATACTAAAACAAAAAGACAAAGTGTAAGCCCGCCCACCCACCCTATCTCAACTGTGATGATTTTTTTTATTCGCCGTGAAACAAAGGGGCGGAGCTTAACTGCAAACTACTTATTTTTCTACAAGATATTCAAAACATGTTCTTGATTATCGTGTTGTTCAAATAGTACTACGCATATTAAAAAAAAAGCTAAATATAAAACCCCGCCCACCCCCCCCCATCTCAATTGTGATGACCCTTTTTAATTTTAGAAACTTAAAACACGTTAAAAATGATAAATTTTTGTAAGGAAATATGGATTCTGCAATTAGGCTCCGCCCCCAAGTCTGCCAACGAATGAAGACTTCATTACTATTTATATCAGAGCTGCTATGGCTATACCTAGTATTCTTTGAATAATACGATACGCAAAAACATGTCTAACATGGTAATTTCTTGAGAAATAATCTCTAGACGATAAAAAAATTCATCACAATTGAGGTAGGTCGGGTGGGTGGGGCTTATATTTTTCCTATTTTTCTTAATATGTGTAGTTATTTTTTCACAACAAGAAACTTAAAACAAGTTTATAATGGTAAATTTACCATTGTAAATTAAATTTGTGTAGGGAAGTACGGATTTCACACGGTAATTTCTCGTACAAAAATAAGGATTTTACAATTAAACTCCGCCCCTCAGCTTACAACGAATAAAAAAAATATCAGAATTGAGACAGGGTGGGTGGGCGGGGCTTATATTTTGCTTTCTTCCTTGATATACATAGCCATCTTTTCACAACAAGAAACCTAAAACATGGTTAAAATGGTACATTTTTGCAAGGAAATATGGATTTTGCAATTATGGGGCGGAGCCTAATTGCAAAATCGTTATTTCCTTATACAAACATGTTTTAGTTTCCTGTTATGAAACAAAGTCTACACATGTTAAAACAAATAATCAAAATGTAAGCCCGCCCACCCGCCCTATCTCAATTGTGATGATTTTTTTTTATTCACCGTGAACCAAGGGGGCGGAGCTTAAGTGCGAAATTCTTATTTCTTTACAAGAACTTCTTTTTGAGTATCGTGTTGTTCAAAGAATTCTATGTATATTAAGAAAAAAAGGCAAAATATCTACCCCGCCCACCCACCCCATCGCAATTGTGATGATTTTTTTTTATTCTTTGAAACTTGAAACACGTTTAAAAAGGTAAATTTTTGTAAGGGAAAGTGGATTTTGCAATTAGGCTCCGTTCCTAGGTCTACCAACTAATGAAAACTTCATTACAATTTACATCAGGGCAGGCATATTTAGGTGGGGCTTAATCTTTGGCTTTAATTTTTTCTTAATATATGTACAAAGTATTCTTTGAATAATATAATACTCAAAAACATGTCTTACATGGTAATTTTTTATAAAGAGATAATAAGGATTTTGCAGTTAAATTCATCACAATTGAGATAGGGTGGGTGGGCGGGATTTATATTTTGCCTTTTTTCTTAATATACGTAGTCGTCTTTTCAGAACAAGAAACTTGAGACATGATTAAAATGATAAATTCTTGTAGACAAATATGGATCTTGCAAATAAGCCCCGCCCCTCGATCTGACAACGAATGAAAAATTCATCACAACTGAGAATTAAGATGACGGCGGGTAATATACATACTATTCTTTAGAGAACACGATACTCAAAAACATGTTTTTAATTTTTCGTAGAGAAATAAGGATTTTGCAGTTAAGCTCCGCCCCTCTGGCCCACAACGAATAAAAAAATCATCACAATTGAGATAGGGCGGGTGGGTGGGGCTACATTTTTCCTGTTTTTCTTAATATGTGTAGACTTATTTCGACAAGAGGAAACGCCTTTAAATACGGCAAAAGTTGAACATCAAAGTTACTATCAACGGCAACTTGGCAACGGAGTTTATAAATGACAATTTTCAGCTCTAAAATCAACGTCAGCGGGAAGTTTAACGTCAACAACAAGTTGATAAATCCCACTTTTATTTTTGAAATTATGATGCGACATTGCCACGTTATGCCAATTTTCTTGAAATTTGTTAGCAATTAAAAGGTTTACAAAAAAATCACGGTAGGGTTGGTTTTTAAATTCTGTGTTACAACATTTTGTGGAGAGATATTTTATAATTGCATCTTATTTTACATTTATTCTCTTTCCTTTTTGTTGAATATTTTCAATATTTGAATTTAGCTAAAGCTAAAAATATTAAAAACGTGTGTAGAAATATTTTAAGAATCAAATATTTTGAAACTTAAATTATATAATTTAATTTATTTCGTATCCGTCTCAGCAAATCAAATATTGATCAGTTTCAGGTGCTTTTTTAAATTATTACATAAATAGTGAAACGCTAACCACAATTTGTTTATCCATCCTGTCCAAAAACGATCCAATTTTTTTTTAATGAATTACTGAATTGCAGTTTTTGGAAACAGACTTTCTTATAAATAGATTATGTGATTTTTTTATTAAGTATTACAAAAAAGATTCTGTCTTTCGTATTTTGACAATTTTAATAGACATGTCACCACTCAATCCGTTCGGTAAACAGACCGTCTGTCCGCGATTTTATTACACAGATAATCTTCAAAACTACCGCATTAATTGTTAACATTTGGGTATTTTAAGAGTGTGAAAATTATTTATACAGGTGTCCCAAAAAAAATTAATTAATATTAAATCAAAAACCCTATTTAGGCGGATTCCTTGACCTCCAAGGTTCAACCGATGTGGTAGCTGTACCAGGACAACTTCTACAGCTAACAAAACATGTTTGTATACATCACTGTAAAATTATCAACGATTTACAAAAACTCGGACTAGTTTTGGAGATAATAATGCTTTAGTAATATTAAATTTTAATATTTGTAGACGTGTTTAAAAGTAAAGTGTGCATATTAGTACCTACGTGGACAAAGAAACTTATTAATAATTCATTAATGATGCCTTTGGGGTTGAAAAAGTTCGCCTCAAGTGGAGTCATTTAATAATTGTTTTTAGGAATTAGTAATTCAAAGTCTGCCCCACACAAACAAAAAGTGTAAGCACTGACGGGTGCAAAATGGGGCAAAGGGTGAAAGCATTTTTTGTAATTAGTGATGAATATCTGCGTAATAATTAAAACGTCCTACCTTCAATATAGAATCCATTCATGGCACTAAACAATGTTATAACGAGACAAACATAAATAGCCTCATTCATATTTAAAATTAATTCGTCGACAATGCGTACGCGAGATCGATACTATGTTTCGATTGGCATTAACGGGTTCTGCGGTGAAATGTCAATTGCAGCAAGACGTTTTTCACCGGAGCCGATGTCACATTATAGGGGGAATTTGGGGTACGAGGTGCATTTGCGTAGGCACACGGCGGTGAAAAACACGTACGTGTCGAAAGCATTTATTGGCGTGGTTCACATATCAAACTATCATTTAATGTAATTAACAGTTAGAAAACTATTCGCTTCAATGGATTCACTCGCCAAGTTTCGTTACGAACGCAAGCCACGTCACAACTATGTCAACTCTGTGAATTGCTGTAAAATACAACTTCGACGCCAAACAAATAAATTCGACTTTCGAGCGGTTAGTCAAAAAGAGAAATCATACCGCGAACGTGCGAGATGGGGAATAGCCCACTTTTTGCTGCTAATCGCGCGAAAAGGCGCGTTTTTGTTACCGACTTTGATTATTGTACCGGCGGTTTCCGCAAGAAAGAAAATTGTGTAGTCGCACCAGCATTAATACTTGAAAGATACTGACGGAATTACGTTAAATTGACACAAAATCGCGAACTTATTTGTAGTGTTTACCTGGTTATTAATTGCATCGCCGAAACAAAAAACGCAACGTAGGGCCCGCTTTGATTTTTACAACGAATTATATCCTTATTTCAAAAAAATAAAGAAACAAGTAAAGCAATTTCCGTATTGAAATACAAATATTTTTATAAACTTGACCGCACTGGAAACGAGAACAAATAAGTGACCTTAGAATCTAAATAGAGCTCATTCAAATTTGGAGCTCTTTTGATAAAAAAACGGCTACATTCCTGAATTGATTGCTGTTGAAAGGACAATTTTTAGGTTATAAGCGTGAATTTTGGCGAAATATGAACAAGCAGACTCGTCGTGAACGTTTTTATTTGGGGTTTTTCGCAACTAAATGTTGGTTGAATTTTTCTTGGTACGAAATTTTGGATTTTTTCTTGTCGTTTTCGCAAGATTTGATGGACAAAAGCGGGAGGAAAATAAATCTCATGCAATAGACTCTGTTACGCGAAATTTACCTTATGGTAATAACGAATAAAGTTTATGTCCGTGACATCATCGTTTTGCCCTTTCAGCTAGGGTGTCGATTCAGATAGACGGTCAAGATGGCTGCGAGCAACATCGCACAAAATTATGGTGGCATTAATAATAAATATAACAATTATGATTTTTTTTCCAAAACCTGGATATTATATACTGTGCAAAATTTTGAGATGACGTCATCAGATTGTTGATGGGGGTGATTAGACAAATTTTGTACACAAATCTAGTACACTAGAGCGCCGATGCCCGAATCCAAATTTTATATAAAGTAGTCCAAGAACTATACCATCACAAAAGTAGTTGACCGCAAATAAATACCCCCTTTGTGTGGTTCGCACTAAGCTGGGGGACCTGGATTCTAATAGATCTTTTTAAATTACTTCAAAATTATAAGACAAAATTCTTTCAATTTACTTCAAATACAAGACAAAGAATTCCCGAGATTCCTCAAACTACTTCAAAAACAACTCACAGAGATTCTTTCAAATTACTTCAAAAACAACACAAGAAATCCCGGAGATTCTTTCAAAATATGTACTTCAACAACAAGACACAAGTGGCGCCCGAGATTCTAATAAATTACCTCAAAAATTACGCACAGAAAGATTTCCGAGATTCCTCCAATTTACTTCAAAAACAAGACAAAGGTGGTGACCTGGATTCTAATAGATTCTTTCAAATTACTTCAAAATTAAAAGACAAGAGGTCCCCGAGATTCTTTCAGATTTCTTCAAAAACAAGACAAGGAATCCCCGAGATTCCCCAACTACTTCAAAAATAACTCACAAGGGGTCCCCGAGATTCTTCCAGATTACTTCAAAAACATGAAAGGGAATCCTGAGATTCTTTCAAAACACTTCAAAAAGAAAACAAAAGAGGTACCCGAGATTCTTTCAAACTAATTCAAAAAGAACCCTCAAGGTGTACCCGAGATACTTTCAAAGTATTTCAAATACCAGACACAAAGTGTCCCCAAAAATTCTTTCAACCTATTTCAACAACCACACACAAGTGGTCCCTGAGATTCTTCCAGATTACTTCTAAAAGAAGAAAAGTATCTCCGAAATTCTTTCAAACTACTTCAAAAACATAAACACAAGAAGTTCCCGTGATTCTTCTAGATTACTTCAAAAATATGAAAGGAGGTCCCAAGATTCTTTTAAAACACTTCAAAAAGAAAACAAAAGAAGTCCCCGAAATTCTTTCAAACCATGTCAACAACAAAACAAAAGAGGTTTCTGAGAAACTTTCAAACTACTTCAAATACCAGACACAAAAGGCCCCCAAAATTCGTTCAACCTACTTCAAAAACCACACACGAGTGGTCCCTGAGATTCTTCCAGATTACTTCAAAGAGAAGAAAAGTATCTCCGAAATTCTTTCAAACTACTTCAAAAACATAAACACAAGAAGTTCCCGTGATTTTTCTAGATTACTTCAAAAACATGAAAGGAGATCCCAAGATTCTTTAAAACACTTCAAAAAGAAAACAAAAGAGGTCTCCGAGATTCTTTCAAAATACTTCAAAAATAAAACAAAATAGGTCCCCGAGATTCTTTCAAACCATGTCAACAACACAACAAAAGAGGTCTCTGAGATACTTTCAAACTACTTCAAATACCAGACACAAAAGGCCCCCAAAATTCTTTCAACCTACTTCAAAAACCACACACGAGTGGTCCCTGAGATTCTTCCAGATTACTTCAAAAAGAAGAAAAGTATCTCCGAAATTCTTTCAAACTATTTCAAAAACAAAACACAAGAAGTTCCCGTGATTCTTCCAGATTACTTCAAAAACATGAAAGGGGATCCTGAGATTCTTTCAAAACACTTCAAAAAGAAAACAAAAGAGGTACCCGAGATTCTTTTAAATTAATTCAAGAAAAACCCACAACGTGTACCCGAGATACCTTCAAAGTACTTCAAATACCAGACACAAAGGGTCCCCAAAATTCTTTCAACCTATTTCAAAAACCACACACAAGTGGTCCCTCATATTCTTCCAGATTACTTCAAAAAAAAGAAAAGTATCTCCGAAATTCTTTCAAACTACTTCAAAAACAAAACACAAGAAGTTCCCGTGATTCTTCCAGATTACTACAAAAATATGAAAGGAGATTCCAAGATTCTTTTAAAACACTTCAAAAAGAAAACAAAAGAGGTAGCCGAGATTCTTTCAAACTACTTCAAAAACAAACCACAAGGTGTCCCCGAGATTCTTTCAAATTACTTCAAAAACAAGACAAGAAATCCCGGAAATTCTTTCAAAATACTTCAAAAACAAGGCACAAGAGGTGCCCAAGGTTCCTTTAAATTACTTCAAAAACAAGACACAAAGGGCGCCCGAGATTCTAATAAGTTGCCTCAAAGATTCCCGAGATTTCTCCAAATTACTTCAAAAACAGGACAAAAGTGGTAACCTGGATTCTAATAGATTCTTTCAAATTATTTATTATTTTTATTTATTATGAAGCGCCTAAGATTCCAATAAATTGCCTCAAAAATTAGGCGAGATTCCTCCAAATCACTTCAAAAACAAGGCAAAATGCAGCCTAGGATTCTAATAAATTGCTTCAATAACAATACACAAAAAGATTCCCGAATTTTTTCAGATTCCTTTAAACAAGACAAAGGATCCCCGAGATTCTTTCAAATTACTTCAAAAACAGAACAAAAGGGCTAACCTGGATTCAAATAGATTCTTTCAAATTATTTCAAAATGAAGAGACAAGAGGTCCCCGAGATTGCTCAAACTAAAATTACTTCAAAAACAACAGAAGAAATCCCGGAGATTCTTTCAAAATACTGCAAAACCGAGATACAACAAGTGCTCCAGATTCCTTCAAATTACTTCAAAAACAAGATACATGAAGCGCCCAAGATTCCAATAAATTGCCTCAAAAATTACACGAGATTCCTCCAAATTACTTCAAGAACAAGGCAAAAGACAGCCTAGGATTCTGATAAATTACTTCAAAAACAATACACAAAAAGATTCCCGAATTTTTTCAGATTGCTTTAAACAAGACAAAGGATCCCCGAGATTCTTTCAAAGTACTTCAAAATTAAAAGACAAGGAATCCTAAAGATTCATTCAAATTACTTCAAAAATAAAACAAAAGATGTCCTTGAGATTCTTTCAAACTACTTCAAAAACAAAGCAGAAGCGATTCCCGAGATTCTTTCAAACTACTTTAAAAACCAGACACAAAGAATCTTTGAGATTATTTCAAATTGCTTCAAAAACAATACTTCAATTATTTGAAAGACAAGACATCACGGGTAGCGGGGGATTCGAGCATCTGGAAGTCGCAAATTTTCCAGAGATGCCAGTAGCCCTCGTACACCAGAGCACCGGTGCCCAAATCCAAATTTTATATACTTGTAAAAACAAGTCAAACAAAAAAATAAACGAAAACGGAAGAACTATTTTTTTATATTGTAGGAGACATAAAACGTCGAGAAAAAATTAAAGCCGGGCGGCATTCGCATAAAATCAAGTCTGAAGCGGGGTCCAGAAAAACCTCGACGCAGGATTCGCGATCCATCCAGAGGAATGTATGGGTTTAAATAGAGGCCACCTTCGGGAACGAATCAGTCTCAGCCAACAAGTGAAGTCCAGACCATCGGAGAAGAGATCATTTTCATTACTTGGTTTGGGTACTCGTAATAACAAGTGGGGGGTCCAAAATAATAGTAATAATAACAATAATAACTTTATTGGCCAACAGTTTCCCAGGACAATTAATATTATTATGTTTTATATAATATTATTATTATTAAAGTTATCATAAATGCAGCAAAATAACTTAAGAAGCACATAAATATACCAATTGTAATCAAGTTAAACAAGTCCATGCACGCTATTAACCCTAAAGTGATACGTTTCCAGTCCTAGCCGACAAGTACAACATGACACTCGGATTTCCGCATTAAAAAAGTTTTTTTTTTAATTTTTGAAATATGCGAAAAATGTGGGTAAAGCGATTATGACATAACGCTGTCCAGTGAATTAATTGTGTTGATGACAGTTTGTATCAACACGTATTAAAATTGGGCATTTCCACTAAATGAATAGTGTTTTTGGCTGGTCGATCATTAATGTAGATTCGCCATTTAATTTTTGTAGACAGTGTAAACCCGCGTGGAAACTGGATAATTGGTAAAATCGCTAAAACAGGAAACCGTCCGTCATTCTGGTCCGTAAGCGAGCAGGACGTTTCCGTTGTGCAACTTTTTTATTTTAATTAGAGCTTTATCGAAGTTCCGGCGATCAGCACGTCTTAGACTTTCGTCAAAAACGAGTGTGTTCGAGTGCGTGAGTTTCATTGTATCTTTGTGTCGGTTTAGAGGCACGTTTCGAGCGCTGTCGTCGTAATCTTCGTCAGTTTGATCGACGACATCCACGGGATTCGCAGGAAGGCCGCCCCCGTCTTCCGGTCCCACCACCGCCACGCCGGCCGCTCCCATGCGGACGCAGTCAAATGACCATTCCACCAGCGTCAGGTCCTCCCAGTTCGCCTCCATGTCGATACACAAGTGAACGTTACGACTTGCGAAGTAGATATTAGAGAACTGCACGCACAAGCGAATGAACTGCAGACGTGGGAGGCGGAAACACATCGGTGGAGGGTTTTTACCTGAAATTTCAGCCGAAATTATTTTCTATAAACAAAGAACGAGATGGTTTTTCGCTCCGGGAGAGCAAATGGCGAAATACGGCTTGTTTACAAGTCGCGTTGTTTTCCATTTCGGTCGAGACCTAACGAAATTTGAGGTTCGAAAACAGCGAAAAAATCATTTCTAATCGCCCCAATCGACGAAAGGCGTAATGGAGTTGTAGAAGTTAACTCAAAAACAGTTGTCACTTTGTAAAACTTTACTTTTTACGAGGGGGAAAAAATTAACCCTAACGGAATTTAATTAAGCTGTCACTTCAATATTTCTACTCAAATAAGATTTTAATCGAAAGTTAAATATTGCGTCAATTTAAATATTTTCGGAGCTGAATTTACGTTCTATCATGTATGTTTGTTCTCCTGTACTTTTGCAAACGTTATCGTTTCGCTCTACCAAAGACAAATCAGTCGGAAAATCTTTGCCCTCCGTAATTTTATAAGCTTTTATGAATTGGTTTAGTACTCATAAATTTTTCACGTCAACGAAACAAGATACTCTATCTTAAAATGTGTGTAAAGTTTCAAGCATATTTCAAGTATACAAAATGAATAAAAGTATTATCTAAAGTACTCGGGAATTTCTAAACTTACCCGACTTTTTAATCTATAGCGATGAATAATAAAACGATTTAATTATTATTCAAAAATCTTCTGCTTTTACGCCATTAATACTATTTACTATAGGGCACAAAGGGCTCCATTAGAAGGATTTTAACCTGCCATAAAAAAATCCCGTTTTAAAATTCCAAACACTTAATCTCAGTCAAATTGATGCGTCACTTTTGCTAAAACAACTTAGTCCAACACCCGACAAGATAACTCGGAAAACCATTTCAAATCACTCTAACACGAATTTTGTCCCTTCTCTATTATAAAACACGTAACAGCCAATTTCCGCCAATTCACATATATATAATTTCCGTTCGGTTTAAACTTTATCCTGCAATAGCTGCATCTGCCGCTAAATGATCAGAAACAATTCCCCTAGATTCTAATAGCGAACATTCACTGAAAAGCGTCTTAGTTAACGAGAAAAATACTTAAGCCAGATGAAATTTGCTCATCTGGCTTAAGTATTGACTCAGTACACTTATAATTTTTATCGACGGGTTTCAGCAGCGACGCTGTCGTTTCCTTCACAATACAGACACCCGGAAACGTATAACTTTCCATAAACTATTGTAAAATTACGTCATCACTTTTTTGGGGGACCATGAAACAAAAAAATTGGTCGAAAGTTGTTTCGAATTGAGCTTTTCTTTACACAATATTGTGATGACGTCATCAATATTTACAAAGACACTTATATCAACTTGAATTGGTGTAGTGTAATACTAAAAATAACAGTATTGCATTTCTAAAATTAAAATGCAAATGGGTTTTCTTTTCGTATTATAGAACATGTGTACGACGCGCACCGGAATAGGATGTTGAGTTCGACACCGACACCGACACCGGTCTGAACTGAGTCTGAACATAGGCATGTAACGCCGCGCTATATTTTATACAATATTATTATAATAATTTGATTTTTCTATATGATAAATAAATAATAAAGTATATTTTATAATAAACAACAATTGACAATACATGGATATATACTATAATTAATCCATTCATTAATCATCATTTTGTCAAAAAATACAAATGCAACATATTTTTGGTTTTTATTATTTTTTAAGAGAAAATCAATGACTTCACAGCGTATACGTGTTTAATTTATATAAATTGACAACGCAGAGTTAAAACTCCATTCGTGCGTCCCTAAGTCGACGCACAATTTTTTTTTCTTCTAAAATAAGAAATAAATCTTGTGGTAAATACCATAACCAAAAAATGACGGTTAGACTTTTTTTTCTTCTTTAATTCTCATTCTACAGAAGAACATATAATTAACCGCACCCACCCACCCCGCCTCCATTTCGGTGATTCGTTTTATCTGGTCTGATAGAAACTTGATTACATGCTGAACAGAAATAAAATTAGTCCTTAGAATAAAAAAAACATGGGTGGGTGGGCGGGGTTAGTACTTGCTAAGAAAAGACTGATTTTGGAAAATAACATACCCCCTAAGAGAAGAGAGGGTGGGTGGGCGGGGCTAGTACTTGCTAGGATAACATTCAACGACATTAAGAGTAGTTACTAAAATAAAGAGGGAGTGGATGGGCGGGGCTAGGGTTGCATATCAAAGACTCAGCAGGAAATAGTTAAAGTTTGCCCCGCCCACCCACCCGTTCTCCCATTTTTTCTTCTAAAATAAAAAATAAATCTCGTAATAAAGAGTATAAGAAAAAATTATGGTTAGCCCTCTTTTCCTCTTCTTTAACAGCCTCACTCCCTTTTTACAGAAGAATATATAATTAACCCCGCCCACCCACCCCGCCTCCAATTCAGTGATTCAAAAAGTGGATTCCATACTGAACAGAAATAAAGTGAATCCTTAGAACAAGAAGAACTTGGGTGGGTGGGCGGGGTTAGTACTTGTTAGAAGAAGACTGATTTTGGCAAATGACGTACCCTCTAAGAAAACAGAGGGGGCGTGGGGGGGCTAGTACTTGCGAAGATAAAATTGAACAATATTAAGAGTAGTTACTAAAAAATATGAATGAAATGATAAATCACAAGTACAGAGCAAAATTTTGGGGTGACGTCATCAATTTGTTAGGGGGGATGAGCAAATACATTTTGATCAAAAATTTACCATGTTTATGATAACTTTAAAACATCTCCAAGATTTCAAAACATTCGGTTTTGTAGTTCCTCATTAATTCGTAAAAATAAATTCACGCATTCATTATTTTTTTGAGTCATTCTCTATATGTAAAACAAGAAAATATGAATGGAATTATAAATCACTCAACATATTTTGTCCAATTTAGATAGGATTTATTCGGCAAACTTTTGAAGTGACGTCATCATTTTTTTGGAGGGGATAAGTAAATACATTTTGACTAAAAATTTATCATGGTTGTCATAACTGTAAACCATCGGCAAGAGTTCATTCGGTTTTGCAGATTCAAAATTATATTGCAAAATTTTGTGTCATAATGGGTGGGCGGGGTTAGTACTTGCTAATAAAACATTGATCAATATTAAGAGTAGTCACTAAAATAAAGAAGGGATGGATGAGCGGGGCTGTTGCTTGCCTATCAGAGACTCAGTAGGAAAAATTTAAGTTTGCCCGCCCACCCACCCATTCTCTCATTTTTTCTTCTAAAATAAGAAATAAATCTTGTGGTAAAAAATGTAACAAAAAAATTACAATTAGCTTTTTTTTCGTCTTCAACAGCCCCTGAATTTTACAGAAGAAGATATAATTAACCCCGCCCACCTACTCCGCCTCCATTTCAGTCATTCACTTTATCTGGTCTGATAGAAAGTGAATCCCATACTGAACAGAAATACTATTAGTCTTTAGATTAAACAGAACGTGGGTGGGTGGGCGGGGTTAGTACTTGCTAAGAAAAGACTGATTTTGGCAAATGACGTACCCTCTAATAAAGTAGAGAGTGGGTGGGCGGGGCTAGTACTTGCAAATAAAACATTGAACAATACTAAGAGTGGTCACTAAAATAAAGAAGGAGTGGATGAGCGGGGCTATTGCTTGCCTATCAGAGACTCAACAGGAAAAAATTGAAGTTTGCCCCGCCCACCCACCCGTTCTCTCATTTTTTTCTTCTAAAATAAGAAATAAATCTTGTGGTAAAAAATGTAACAAAAAAATTACAATTAGCTTTTTTTTCGTCTTCAAGAGCCCCTAAATTTTACAGAAGAAGATATAATTAGCCCCGCCCACCTACCCCGCCTCCATTTCAGTCATTCGCTTTATCTGGTCTGATAGAAAGTGGATCCCATACTGAACAAAAATATTATTAGTCCTTAGATTAAGCAGAACGTGGGTGGGTGGGCGGGGTTAGTAATTGCTAAGAAAATACTGATTTTGGCAAATGACGTACCCTCTAAGAAAATAGAGGGCGGATGGGCGGGGATATTGGTTGCTTATCAAAGCCTCTGCAGGAAAAAGATAAACTTAACCCCGCCCGCCAACCCGTCCTCTCATTTCTTGTTCTAAAATAAGAAATAAATCTTGTGCTAAATAGCATAACAACAAAATTACACCCCGCCTCCATTTCAGTGATTCATTTTATCTGGTCTGATAGAAGTGGACCCCATACTGAACAGAAATAAAATTAGTCCTTAGAATAAGAAGAACGTGGGTGGGTGGGCGGGGCTTAGTACTTGCTAAGAAAAGATGGATTTTGGCAAATAACATATCCTCCAAGAAAACAGAGGGCGGGTGGGCGGGGCTAGTACTTGCTAAGACAACACTGAACAATATTAAGAGTAGTTACTAAAATGAGGGGGTGGATGGGCGGGGCTATTGCTTGCTTATCAAGGACTCTGCAGGAAAAAGTTAAACTTAGCCCCACCCACCCACCCGTTCTCTCATTTTTTTTCTAAAATAAGAAATAAATCTTGTGCTATATAGCATAACAAAAAAATTACAGCCCGCTTCCATTTCAGTGATTCATTTTATCTGATCTGATAGAAAGTGGATCCCATACTGAACAGAAATAAAATTAGTCCTTAGAATGAGAAGAACGTGGGTGGGTGGGCGGGGTTAGTAGTTGTTAAGAAAACACTGATTTTGGCAAGTTACATACCCTCTAAGAAAATAAAGGGCGGGTGGGCGGGGCTAGTACTTGCTAAGATAATATTGAACAATATTAAGATTAGTTATATTTTTTAAATTAAAAGTAAAAATTTTGATTAACGATTTATTAACCTTAAAACGATGCAATATTTCAGGGCATCCAATTTTGCAGTTTAAAAATTTAATTTTGATTTTTTGTCCCTGGATGTCTACGGTAAAAACTCAGCACGGATTCATGAACTACAAGTGGAGGTGAATTATTTTTATAAAATTGAAGTAATGTTTATTTAGTAAGTTTTGCAAGTAACATCACCCTGTTATTAGTGGCGATTAGCCAAATTTTGGTTAGGATTTTTCACGATATTCCTAATACACATATAAAACTTGACAGTAGTCGGTGTAATAGTTTCGGAGATTATTTGTCTTATAAAAATCCGGACAGACAGACAGACGGAACCGGGAGACCTATTTTTTGTACTCTCGGGTTCATGAACCGTCGAGAAAACACAAAGGTAGCCAGTCGTCTAATGGACTCGAATACATATTTCTTAGTACGCGCAGGAAGCAAAAAGCCTGGCCATAAATTTCTAAAAAGTGCAAATAAAATTTTCCGTCACGTTAATATTTTTTTATACAATTCCGTAAATTAAGAAATATGTGAACAACAGCCCGAACCGTTTTTTGATATAGTTTGCTCCGGTTTGTGTAGTTCCACCTCCGCCACACTTACACAAAAAGACCGATCGAAGTTTCTGAACGAAACACACCTAAATCTCTTTTCTTGACATTAAACAAGAAACAAAAATTTATTACCTTACAAAATTTACTACTTTACTACTAGAGAGAATAACATCTACGAAATCTGGTCACCATTTAAAAAACCTCTGCAGCGCGAAACGAGTTGATTTTGCGAAAATGTAATGTCCGAACCGGTTAATTTAACTCTGTAATTTCAAAAATCGTTTTCAGAAACTTTACTGACACCATTATGGGTAATAACTCTTATTCACCCGTGAACTTACTATCGAGATAGTAGTGAGATCGTTTAAAAAAGTCGATTTAAACTTTGCTTACTTTGTACTGAAAAATTACAACTCAAAGGAAGCCGTGGAGCAAGCAGTTTTGCATAGCAAATAAAATGGATATTTTAATTGAATTTCTCTATATTGCAGAAGCAGTAAATTTCAACACCGCGTCTTTAAAGGTATAAATCTCTTAAAAGGATGGCTCTGCGCGGAAACTTTGACGTTAATTTTACACATCCTATGTTTCGCATAAGCTTCAGATAAATTAACAATCCTTTCGACTTATCTTGATTACAAATACATTACCAACAAACCAGCGTAATCAAAGCTAACTCAGAATCATTTTTTTTTACTGTATCGTTCGAGTGACATCTAGGGCACTGTTATAGTCGTTCCTAGGTCAGTAGCAGCTTTTTATTGTCGGTAAGCGTTCGGAAAATTCCTGCATTCAAATAACCACAATACGGACACTTTCTTTAAAGCATAGCTAATGAGGCGAGATGCTAAACTCAACTTGAACTAGTGACCGACTTAGTTTCGTTGTACATAAAATCATATGAAAGCTTGAATTACCAGAAACAGTTCTCTTATAAAGTACGCGGCCATTCATAGACATTAGGGCGGTGAGAGAAAAGTCCTCAGGCTCATACGACACATTTAAGCAAGCCTTTTGATTAAACTGGTCTAATAAGACTCCCGTACAACAGCCACATTGTCCTTCAACACACGAACAAGGTAATCTAAGTCCTGGTAGTAACGAACTGCTCGTTGTGGCCACTACTTGATTAGTAGTTGATGCACTCGTCGTGTTCTTTGACGTTGACACTTTGTTCTTGCCGTCTAAAAGTGGAAACAATGGACAAAATCGTTATTCTCGGGGTACCGGATCGATTGAAAACTATTTACCTTTTGCTGCTGCACATAATTGCTCGTTAGTTAACACAATTAGACACAAGAGGACAAAAGACTTCATTTTCACAGTTTGTTGTGGCAAGTAAATCTTTAATGTACCGTTTACTGAATGGTTTGTAGGATACTGAGTTAACCCGCATATGCATATGTACCACTTTCTCGATTTCTGTCTGTTCCGGAGAGTTTTACCTTATTGATTCATTGTACGCCGAAAAAATTAATGTGGACATTGCAATCAACACGCGGTTATGAGGGCACTTTTTTCAACCACGGGAACATGAACTGCTTCTTTCACCTGCCTAGTTTACTTTAAAACGATCTAGGAAAGCTACTCGAACACCAATTTAAAATTTAATTTATCGTTTTATGTTAAAAGGTCTAAAAATGAACAGGTTGGGAAAATGTGTACGTTTTACAGCTTTGCAATATGTGTACATTTTGACCTCTAACACAAATACCGGGCGTTTTTACAATTTAATAATTCTTTGAGGTGACGTCATTAACTCTCTAGTGGGGTCAATATTTCTTTGAATCATGATCACACATTACGGTGGAAATTCCACGGAGACTAAATTTCTTCTTACATAAATTTCTACCAATCTATTAAGTAAAGATGACCTCATCTGTCTGTCTGTCTGTCTGTGGTCTGTGTCGATTTTTATTTGTCAGATACATAATATCGGAAACAGTTGTCAAATTTTTACGCATATTGGCAATATCATCTAGATGGTAAAACACTGATCAAAATTTTAATAAAAAATTTACAGTAGTGAAAGGCAAATAAAGATTATTATCATTATTATTATAAATTATTACAAAATTTATTTAAATTTTATAAAATCACGTACTCCACCACTTGTGGTTTATAAATGGTTTATAAATTCATGTCGAGTTTTTACCCTAGGCATCCAGATTTTTGGAAAAAAAAATTAAAACTGTGTAAAACATTTTTCACTTTAAAATTGTTCATGCCCCCGAGAAATTGATGATGTCATTTTACAATTTTGAGGTATAAATGTTATTTAAATGTTAAAAGGTAACACAATTCTGAACTTGTGATTTATGAATCCGTGTTGAATCATATAATAAAGATCGCAATTTTTGGGAAAAAAAGACAATTTTTCTCGATTTTTTCAACTGTTCAATCTTTCGATATTTCAGTTTGAGGATTGTTCAATTTGTCGATTCTTCAGTTTCACAATTTTTCAAATTTTCGATTTCTCATTTTTTTTTATTTTTGGATTTCTCAATTTTCCGATACTTTTATTTTCCTATTTTTAAATTCTATTTCGATTTCTCGATTTTTCAATTTTTTTTGTAATTTTAAATTTTAGATTGGATGTTACTTTTTAGAAATTTTGATTTTTCGAAATTTTTGAGTTAAAATGTCTCAGTTTGGAATTTTTTGATTTTGCACTATTCGATTTCTCCGTTTTTCTCAGTGTTTCGACTTCTTGACTTCTCGATTTCTCGATCATTGAATTTTTTCGATTTATTGATTTCTAGTTTTTTTGGTTTTTTTAGCTTTTCAATTTTTTAAATTGATTTTTTTTTTTTTTAGATTTCTCCGTTTTTCGATTTTACCATTTTTTGTTGTTTCGATTTCCCAACTTAAACTTATTTAATATGTATTTCAATATTTCGATTTTTCGAATTTTAAAATTTTTCAAATTTTGATTTTACTATTTCTCGATTTTTCAAATGTTCGATTTTGCAATTGTTCAACTTTTCAATTTTGAGAATCTTCCAATTTCTGGATTGTTTAATTTTGGGGTATTTTCATTTTTTCATTTTTTAAATTTTACATTTTTTGATTTTTTGACGTTTCGATTGATCTTTCAATCTCTCAACTTTTCGGATTTCTCGGCATCTCCGTTTTCCAATTTGAAAATTTTTATTATTTTGCTATTTCTCGAATTTTCAAGTTTTCAAATTCTCAATTGTCCAACATTTCAGTTTTGGGAATGTTTCAATTTTTCGATATTTTTATTTTTTGATTTTTTAAAATTTTTTAGATTTTTTAATTTTTTGATGTTTCGATTGCTCGCTCTTTCGATTTCTCGATTTCTCGGATTTCGATTTTTCGGCTTTTCTATTTTTCAATTTTTTTTATTTCTCAATTTTGGATATTCTTTTAGATTTTTCGAAAAGCATTTTTCTCGTTGGTTATCAGCTTTAAATGTTGTTTTAATAGTTTATTGATTTAATTTGTTGTACCTATTTGTCGCCTCGTGTAAAGCTCTATTTGATTTCTGGATTTTCTATTTTTTCAATTTTTTGATTTTAGATTTTTTGATATTTCGATTTTTCGATTTTAACACATATTTTTCAATTTCTCAATTTTTCAATATTTCAGTTTTGGGTTTCTTCTCTGATTTCGTTCGATTGTTCAATTTTTCTCCCATTTTTCAGTTTTTCCATATTCCAATTTTGGAATTTTGCAATATTTTGATTCTTCAATTTTTCGAGATTTGAATTTCTCGATTTTTTACTTTTTCGAATTTTGAAGTTTCAATTTTTAAATTTTGGATTTTTCAATTTTTGATGTTTCAATTTTTCAATTTCAATTTTTTGATTTCCCGCTTTTTCGACTTTTCGATTTTTCAATTTTCCAAATTCTCGATTTTTCAATTTTTCAATTTTTAAAATTTTAGATTTTTCAATTTTTTGATTTCTAGTTTTTTTGATTCTTTTAGTTTTTCATCTTTTAAAATTTTACATTTCGATTCAATTTTTTGATTTTACCATTTTTTGATATTCACATTTGCCGATTTAAATATTTTTAATATTTCAATTTTTCGATTTCTCGACATATCCGTTTTCGATTTTAAAAATTTTTTGATTTTTCATTTTTACTATTTCTCAATTTTTCAAGATTTCCATTTTGGGAATTTTTCAATTTTTCGATATTTTCATTTTTCGATTTTTATATTTTAGATTTTTTGATGTTTTGATTTTATAATTTTTTGATGTTTCGATCATCCGATATTTTGATTTCTCGACTTTTTTTATTTCGATTTCTCGACTTTACGGAATTCGCTTTTCGGTTTTTCAATTTTTTGATTTCTCAGTTTCCTTTTTCATTGATTTTTGATTTTCCCATTTCTCGATTTCCCAACTTTTCAATGTTCCGATTTTTGATTTATCGATTTTTCAACTACTGGATTTCTCTATTTTTCAGTTTTCCAATTTCTCAATTTTTCAATGGTTCAGTTTAAGGTTTTTACAATTTTTGCGTTCTTCACTTTTTCATGTTTTTCAATATTTTAGTCTTGGAATTTGGCAATACATGTTTTATTCTTCAATTTTTGTATTTTTGGATTTCCCAATTTTTTATTTTTTCGATTTTTTAAATTTTAGATTTTTTGATGTTTCGATTTCTGTTTTTATTTATATTTTTCAACCTCTCAATTTTTCGATATTTTAGTTTTGGGTTTTTTCACCTTTTCGATTCTTCAATCTTTCACCCATTTTTCAGTTTTTCAGTAATACAATTTCTACAATTTGAAATATCCGATTTTTAAATTGTAGATTTTTTCAATTTTACTAGTTTTTGACTTCAATTTTTCGACTTTTCCATGTCTTAATTTTTTAGTTTTGGATTTCTAAATTTTCCAATGTTTTAGTTTTGGAATTTTACAGTTTTTCAAGTGTTCAATTTTTCGTTTTTCAATATTTCAGCTTTGGACATTTGCAATAATTTTCAATTTTTGACTTTCCTAAATTTTCGAATCTTCAGTTTTTCTTCGATTTTTCCAATTGTCGAGATTTTAGTTTTGGAAATTTTCAAGTTCGATTCTTCAATTTTTCAAGATCTCGATTTTTCAATTTTTAGATTTTTCAAATTGAGATTTTTCAGTTTTGCGATATTTTAGTTATGGAATTTTTCAGTATTCCGATTATTCGATTTCTCAATTTTTCAATTTTCGATTCTTCAATTCTCCTGTTTTTTAATTTTTCAATTTTCGAATTTTTAAATTATAGATTTTTCAGTTTTGGATGTTAAATTTTCGGTTTTTTAATTTTCCGATTTTTTCAATTTTTCGTTTTTCCAGTTTTTTGACTTTTCAATTTTTCGATTTTTTGACTTCGATTTTTCGACTTTTCGATTTCTTAATTTTTTAGTTTTTCGAATTCTAAATTTTTCAATGTTTTAGTTTTGGGATTTTACAATTTTTCGAGTCTTCAATTTTTCGGTTCTTGAATTTTTCTTCCATTTTTCAGTTTTTCAATGTTTCTGTTAAGAAATTTTGCCATATTTCAATTTTTCAATGTTTCGATTTTTTAATTCTTCAATTTTTCGATTTTCGGGTCTTTGGTTTTTCAAATCTAATATTTTTCGACCTCGATTTTTCGAATTTTCGATTTCTCAATTTTTCAATATCAGTTTTGGGATTTTGCGATACATATTCCGATTCCTGAATTTTTCGATTGTTCGATATTCAGATTTTTTTATTTTTTCGATTTTTGAAATTTTGGAATTTTAAATTTTAGGTTTTTTGGTGTTTCGATTTTCCGGTTTTCAAATATTACGATTTCTCACTTTTTCAATGTTTCAGTTGTGGGTTTCTTCAGCTTTTCGATTCATAAATCTTTGTTCAATTCTTCAATTTTTCGGTATTTCAGTTTTGGGATTTTGCAACATTTTGATTGTTCAATTTTTCGAGTTTTCGAATTTCGATTTTTGAAATTTTCGATTTTTGATGTTTCAATTTCTCGGTTTCAAAATTTTTCAATTTCTCCATCCTTAAGTGTTTCAATTTTTGGTTTCTTCAACTTTGCGATTCTTCTATTTTTTTTATTCCAGTATTTCCCTTAATTATCGCCAAAGAAATAATAGTAGTAGGAGGGGTGGGAACTTTTATGTAAATTATGTAGTTTAATGTTTTCGACTTTGACAATTACTTTACAGGGTACAGAAAAATTTGCTTCAGCTATCAGGCTTCATTTTATTTAAATAAAGTAGTAATTGAGCACATTGTTGGAATTAATTACATACATATGTACAGTGTAAAATAAATAACAATAAATAAATAAATACATAAATACTGAAAGAGCTTCGGAATTACCAGTGTAGTCTGTCTAACCACATGTCACGACTTTGCCGTCCTCTGTTTTTTTTCATTTTACGTTTTCGCGCACTTCTGCTTTCTTCTTCATCGTCGTCGTCGTCGTCGTCGTCGTCGTCGTCATCGTCGTCATCATCGTCGTCAATCACTTCATAGTCGTCTTCATCGTCGTCATCGTCATCGTCATCGTCAGCCACAGGTTTCGTTTTAGTCGTGGAAGCTTCATCAGAATCGTCATCGTCGGCAAAAGTGTCCACTACTCCGTCAACAATGTCATCTAAAACATCTTTAGACTTCTGTTTATTAGTAGTAGGTTTATCAATATCTTTGTCGTTCTCGTTAGTAGTTGATTCGTCGCTGTCCACTTCATCCTCTATAACTTCCCCAACAACTTCAGAAATTGGGTCGTCGTCTTCTTCCGACTCGTCTTTTTTCTCCTTCTTGTTAATTGTTTTAGTTGTGTTGTTCGGAGCGATCGTTATAGCCTCCGCGTTCTCGAATGGGGTTGTCGTCTCCAAGTTCTGATTAATGGATTCTTCAGTAATATCCTTCAATATAGTCCCCTGGGACATCAATCCGACTGGCTGTTCAGTTAAGACATTTGTAGACACATCCGGCATTTGTTGAGTAGTTTGCGTGGCGGTCGGGGCTGGTGTGTCTATAGACGCCGGGGTGGAAAGAACTTCGACGGGCTTCGCGTCGACGGCGGCGCCCTGGGACCCCGCTCCGGAGGGACCTTGCAACATAACAGTCACGGCAGCAATTGATTCGTGGGGTGACGAAGGAACTTTCTCGGCAGGGGTCTGCATATCTGGCGGATTGCTCGCCCCATTCATCACACCCGAAACTTGCGTCGCTTGCAGTTTGACGGGGGCGGTCGAGCTTTTCACGGGCACCCTCGCACGCGTGGGCTTGCGCTTCGGAATCACTCTCCGCACGGGAGCTTTCGTGGTGGTGGTGGTGGCGGCGGGCTTCGCCGGCCGCTTCTTCTTACCCCCCGAGCTCCCCCCCGCGAAGTACTCCCCGATGAAGTCGTCATCGAACACGCTGAACGTCCCATAATCCGCCGAGTCCACCTCGTTATCATCGTCATCGTCATCGTCATCGTCGAAATCGTAATCATCATCATCATCATCGTCGTCGTCGTCGTCGTCGTCATCATCATCATCGTCTTCGTTCTCTACGACCGGCAGCGGCTGCGAAGGCTCTACTCGGAGACCGTTGGGACCAAAACGGAAACAGGACACACGAAGGGCGGCCTCGACGTCGTTTAAAGCGCGCAGTTCAAGACCAAGACAGGCTTTAAAATCGTCACCCTTACGGCCGATGTTGTAAACACGGCCACAGAATTTCGAAACTCCGCCGGGTAAAGGCATGCAGACAGGTCGGGGTTTTTTACCTAAAACAAATACAGCTCAATATTTATGTTATTCGGCAAACGGCGAGTTGGAATAGTCTTGGCTTGTTTTGCTGCAAACACTGGATTCCGTAAATGATTTATATTAATTTAGTACAAAGTTGCATATATTGCGCGCAAAACGCTCATGTGTGAGAATAATTATGGACGTTATTAAACGCGATGATCTGTTGCCACATCAGTTGATTAAATTGAGCTGAAATATTTTACTGAGTTTAATTAGTGATCGATTGTGCTAAAAATTAATGACAAATTTAATAAGCGAAATAGAACTGCTTTTTATTTTATAATCGAGTTCATTGGACAACTGGCTACTTTTATATTTTCTCGATGTTTCATGAACCCTAGAATACGAAAAGTTTCCGTCTGTCTGTCTGTCTATCTTTGCCGTCTGTCCGGATTTTTATTAAACAGATAATCTCAGAAACTAAATGTTTTAACATCGTGTAAACGTTTAAGGTTATCAGAAACAAAATCGTTAATCACAATTTAGCCGTTCATGTTATTTAAATGTTAAAAAATAACCTAGTCCTGAAGTTTTGGTTTATGAATCCGTTATGAATTTTATCATAGACATCGAGATTTGTGAAAGAAAACAATTTTTCGAATTTTCGATTTTTCAATTTTTCCATATTTCAACTGCTCCATTTTTCAATTCCTCGATTTTAAACTTCTCGATTCTTCAGATTTTTGACGTTTCTAAGATTTCAGTTTTTCGATTTCTCAATTTCCTAATTAATCAATTGTTTGATTTTCACATTTTTCTTGCTTTCTCGACTTTTTAATTATTCAATTCTTCTATTTTAAGGTGTATGGCTTTTCAAATTTTCGATTTTTCGACATTTCGATTTCTCAATTTTTCAGATTTTCGATTTCTCAATTTTTAAATGTTTCAGTTTTGGGTTTTCAGTTTTTTGATTCTTCAGTTTTTCATTTTTCAATATTTCAGCTTTGGAAGTTTGCAATAATTCAATTCTTCAATTTTTAATTTATTTTTCGACTTTTCAATGTTTCGATTTTTTAATTCTTCAATTTTTAGATTTTCAGTATTTCGGTTTTCAAATTTTCGATTTTTGACGTTCTTTCCTAAATTTTCGAATCTTCAGTTTTTCTTCGATTTTTCCGTTTGTCGATATTTCAGTTTTGGGATTTTTCAGTATTTCGATTCTTCAATTTTTCAAGATGATTCTTCAATTTTTCAAGATGATTCTTCAATTTTTCAAGATGTCAAATTTTGAATTTTTCGACTTCTCGATATATTAATTATTCGATTTTTCAATTTTTAGATTTTTGATATTTCAGTTTCTCGATTTTTCAATTTCCCGATTCTTCAGTTTTTCTTAGATTTTTTAATTTTTCGATATTTTAGTTCTGGGATTTTTCAGTATTCCGATTCTTCGATTTTTTGACTTTTCGATTTCTCAATTTTTCAATTTTTCGATTCTTCAATTCTTCTGTATTTTAATTTTCCAATTTTTCGAATTTTTAAATTTTATAGATTTTTAATTTTTTTCCTCGATGTTAAATTTTCGACTTTTCAATGTTCAGATTTTTAATTCCTCACTTCTTCGATTTTTCGACTTTTCGATTTCTCAATTTTTCAGTTTTTCAATTTCTCAATTTTTCAATGTTTCAGTTTTGGGTTTTCAGTTTTTCGATTCTTCAGTTTTTCATTTTTCAATATTTCAGCTTTGGAAGTTTGCAATAATTCGATTCTTCAATTTTTCAATTTATTTTTCGACTTTTCAATGTTTCGATTTTTTAATTCTTCAATTTTTAAATTTTCAGTTTCTTGGTTTTCAAATTTTCGATTTTTGACGTTCCTAAATTTTCGAATCTGCAGTTTTTCTTCTATTTTTCCCTTTGTCGATATTTCAGATTTGGGATTTTTCAATATTTCGATTCTTCAATTTTTCAAGATGTCGAATTTTCAATTTTTCGACTTCTCGTTATATTAATTTTTTGATTTTTCAATTTTTAGATTTTTGATATTTCAGTTTCTTGATTTTTCAATTTCCCGATTCCTCAATTTTTCTTAGATTTTTCAATTTTTCGATATTTTAGTTCTGGGATTTTTCAGTATTTCGATTCTTCGATTTTTTGATTTTTCGATTTCTCAATTTTTCAATTTTTCGGTTCTTCAGTTCTTCTGTATTTTAATTCTCCAATTTTTCGAATTTTTAAATTATAGATTTTTTATTTTTTTCCTCAATGTTAAATTTTCGACTTTTCAATGTTCCGATTTTTAATTCTTCACTTCTTCTATTTTGAGGTATATGGTTTTTGAAATTTTCGATTTTTCGACTTTTCGATTTCTCAATTTTTCAGTTTTTCGATTTCTCAATTTTTCAATGTTTCAGTTTAGGGTTTTCAGTTTTTCGATTCTTCAGTTTTTCATTTTTCAATATTTAAGCTTTGGAAGTTTGCAATAATTCAATTCTTAAATTTATTTTTCAACTTTTCAATGTTTCCATTTTCTAATTCTTCAATTTTTCGATTTTCAGCTCTTCTTCGATTTTTCCATGTGTCGGTATTTCAGTTTTGCGATTTTTCAATATTTCGATTCTTTAATTTTTCGACTTCTCGTTATATTAATTTTTCGATTTTTTAATTTTTAGGTTCTTAAAATTTAGATTTTCTATTTTTCGATTTTTTGATATTTCAGTTTCCCGATTTTTCAGTTACCCGACTCTGCAATTTTTCTTAGATTTTTCAATTTTTCGATATTTTACTTCTGGGATTTTTCAGTATTCCGATTCTTCGATTTTTTGATTTTTCGATTTCTCAATTTTTCAATTTTTCGATTTTTCAGTTCTTCTGTATTTTAATTTTCCAATTTTTCGAATTTTTAAATTATAGATTTTTTTTCCTCGATGTTAAATTTTCGACTTTTCAATATTCCGATTTTTAATTCTTCACTTCTTCTATTTTGAGGTGTATGGCTTTTCAAATTTTCGATTTTTCGACTTTTCGATTTCTCAATTTTTCAGTTTTTCGATTTCTCAATTTTTCAATGTTTCAGTTTAAGGTTTTCAGTTTTTCGATTCTTCAGTTTTTCATTTTTCAATATTTCAGCTTTGGAAGTTTGCAATAATTCGATTCTTCAATGTTTCGATTTTTAATTCTTCAATTTTTAGATTTTCAGTTTTCTGGTTTTCAAATTTTCGATTTTTGACGTTCCTAAATTTTCGAATCTGCAGTTTTTCTTCGATTTTTCCGTTTGTCGATATTTCAGATTTGGGATTTTTCAATATTTCGATTCTTCAATTTTTCTAGATTTCGAATTTTCAATTTTTCGACTTCTCGTTATATTAATTTTTTGATTTTTCAATTTTTAGATTTTTGATATTTTAGTTTCTCGATTTTTCAATTTCCCGATTCATAAATTTTTCTTAGATTATTCAATTTTTCGATATTTTACTTCTGGGATTTTTCAGTATTTCGAGTCTTTGATTTTTTGATTTTTCGATTTCTCAATTTTTCAATTTTTCGAATTTTCAAGTTATAGATTTTTCAGTTTTTTTCTTCGATGTTAAAGTTTCGGTTTTTTAATTTTCCGATTTTTAAAATTTTTGATCTTTCAATGCTTCAATTTTTCGTTTTTTCAGGTTTTTGATTTTTCAAATTTTCGATTTTTCGACCGCGCTTTTTCGAGTTTCCTATTCCTCGATTTTTTAGTTTTCCGATTTCTCAACTTTTCAATGTTTCAGTGCTGGATTTTTTTCAATTTTTCGATTCTTCAGTTTTTTTCCGTTTTTCGTTTTCCAATATTCCAATTTTGGGATTTTGCAATACATATTTCGAGTCTTCAATTTTTTGATTTTTCGATTTTTCGATTTATTTTGTTCGATTTTTAAAATTTTGGATTTTTGATTTTTCTTTTGGACAATTATTCGATTTCTCGGTTTTTAAATTTTTTCTATTTCTCGATTTCTTGATTAATTGATTTTTTAATTTTCCCAATTCTCGATTTCTGGACTTTTCAGTGTTTCGATTCTTCAATTCTTCATTTTTTCGACTTTTCAATTTCTCGACTTTTAGTTTTTCGATTTCTCAATTTTTCAATTTTTCACGTTCTGGATTTTACAGTTTTTCGATTCTTCAGTTTTTATTCCATTTTTCAATTTTTCAATATTTCAGTTTTGGAATTTTGCAGTATTTCGATTTTTCAATTTAGTTCTCGACTTTTCAGTGTTTCGATTTATTAACTCAATTGTTAGATTTTCTGGTTTGTGGCTTTTCGAATTTTCGATTTTTCGATTTCCCGATTTTTCAATTTTCGATTTCTCAATTTTTCAATGTTTCAGTTTTGGGTTTTTTAAATTGGGATTTTGCGGTGCAATTTTTCGATTTTTCAATTTGTCGATTTTCTAATTTCTCAATTTTTTAAATTTTCGATTTTTAAATTTTAGATTTTTTGATGTTTCGATTTCTCGGTTCTTAAATTTTTCGATTTCTGAATTTTCCAATGTTTCAGTTTTGGGTTTCTTCAGCTTTTGGATTCTTCAATCTTCCTCATTTTTTAGTTTTTCACTTTTGGAATTTTGCAATATTCTTCAATTTTTCGATTTTTCGATTCCTCGATTTTTTACTTTTTCTATTTTTGAAATTTTTGATTTTCCAATTTTCGATTTTTCAATTTTTTGATGTTTCGTTTTCTGTTTTTCAATTTTTCGATGTTTCAGTTTTGTGTTTCTTCATTTTTTTTTTCTATTTTACAGCTTTTCAATATTTCTAGATTTCTCCATTTTTCAATTGTTGAATTTTTTGAATTTTTAATTTTTTTGTATTCTCATTTTTCGATTTTTATATTTCAGATTTTTTGTTTTTTTTTTATTATTTTAGGATTTTAGAGTTCTTTGATGTTTCGTTTTTTGTTGTTCCGATTTTTCAAATTCTCCGTTTTAGATAATTCGGTTCTTCAAATTTTCGATTTTTAAAATTTTTTAATTTGTGACTTTTAATTTTTTTTTTTCGATTTTAGCCTATTTCGATTTCTTGATTTTTCGATTTTTGTCTTCTCGACCTTTCTATTCCCCGATTTCTCGATCTATTGATTTATCGATTACTCGATGTTTCAATTTTTTAAAATTTCGATGTTTCGAGTTCTAGGTTTTTCGATTTTTCGTTTTTCGGATTTTCGATTTTCCAATTTTTCATTTGAATTGTGGAATTTTTCAATTTCTCAATTTCTCGGTTTTTAAATTTTTCGAATTCTCGATTGTTCAATGTTTCAATTTTGGGTTTTTTAAATTTTTCGATTCTTCAGTTTTTGCTTCCGTTTTTCGTTTTTCAATATTTCTGTTTTGGGATTTTGCAATACAATTTTTCGATTTTTCGATTTCTCGATTTTTTAATTTCTCAATTTTTGAAATTTTCGATTTTTAAATTTTAGATTTTTTGATGTTTCGATTTCTCGGTGCTTAAATTTTTCGATTTTTAATTTTACAATGTTTCAGTTTTGGGTTTCTTCAGCTTTTGGATTCTTCAATCTTTCTTCCATTTTTTAGTTTTTCACTTTTAGAATTTTGCAATATTCTTCAATTTTTCGATTCCTCGATTTTTTTCTATTTTTGAAATTTTTGATTTTTAATTTTTTGATATTTCGTTTTCCGTTTTTCAAGTTTTCGATGTTTCAGTTTTGGGTTTCTTCTATTTTACAGCTTTTCAATATTTCTAGATCTCTCCATTTTTGAATTTTTGAATTTTTAGAATTTTTAATTTCTTTTGTATTTTCATTTTTCGATTTTTATATTTTAGAGTTTTTTGATGTTTCCTGTTTTGTTCTTTCGATTTTTGAAGTTCTCCGTTTTAGATAATTCGGTTCTTCAAATTTTCGATTTTTAAAATTTTTTGATTTGTGATTTTTCTATTTTTTTTTTCGATTTTAACCTATTTCGATTTCTTGATTTTTCGATTTTTGACTTCTCGACCTCTCTATTCCCCGATTTCTAGATCTTTTGATTTTTCGATTACTCGATGTTTCAGTTTTTAATATTTGGATGTTTCGATATCTAGGTTTTTCGATTTTTCGTTTTTCGGATTTTCGATTTTCCAATTTTTCTATTTCCCAATTCTTCATTTCAATTGTGGAATTTTTCACTTTCTCAATTTTTCAGTTTTTCGATTCACTTTTTCGATTTTTAAATTTTGATTTTCGATTTTTTGACTTTTCAATTTTTCATTTTTTCGATTTTCAATGTTAGATTTTTGAATTTTTCAATTCCTCGATTTACCGATTTTTCAATTTTTCGATTTCTTAAATTTCAACATTTTAATTTTGGAAACTTCTCAATTTCTGGATTTTTCAATTTTTGGATATTTTAATTTTTCGATTTTTGGATTTTTCGATCTCTCGATATTTTTCTGTTTTTCGAAAAGCATTTTTTCTCGTTGGTTGTCTATTTGAAATATATCTCACAGTGCCCGCACTTGCACCGCAAATCTGGCATTTGTTGTGCTGTACTTCAAGGGCGAGGGAAGTTCGGTCGAAATAACCTTACATAAAAAATTACCACACTAATAAATTACTTTGTAACGTACAACGATTTTAAAAAACCCAGCTAAAAATTATTTTCATTCAACTCGAATATTTAATTATGCGCAGCTCAAGTGACAAGTGACAGCAAAATTTAACGTCCTCACACCAGGTTTAAAAGTTCAATTATTTTGATTTAACAGCGCTAAATTAAAAAAGCTGCATCCAGTGCTGCGTCCACACATGACTAAAATTCCATTTAAACCTGCGTCCCTAGGGTTAGTGCGTCCGTATACGAACGAATAATTACAAACAGCGTAATCAATTTCTAAGCTTAAAAACCTAAAAGGGTGCAAAATTGTTAGGGCTGGTAAAAGTAATTAGCTAGACTCTGGAGAGTTTGCGGAATTTCTAATGTTCAGTCTCCATAAATGCGCAGCTTCTAATTCTACGCCCGGCATTTTGTGGCAACACATGCATCAAATTATGTAAACGCCAGTGTTTGTAACTTAATTTGATGGGATCAAACGTGCTTCTAGAGAGTATAAAGAAATCGGAATTTGTGTGAAGGAACAATGGTGGGTAATTCTGTAAATGTATTACGTTTGATGGCGCTATAGCCACTCTAAGCGAATTAAATAAACTAGCTTGACAAAGGAGTTGAGTTTGAAATATAAGAATAAAACGTCTTACTTGAAATCGTTGTGTTCGTGAGTACCCGCTCTCCAAAGCTCATCGAAATTGCTAGACGATCTCCTTTCAGGTACTGAAGTGAAGCACATCCAGGTCCTTGTAAGGAAACTACGGGTATATTAAATTCCCTGCAGCAGTTGCAGATTTTCGTGGAGCAGCTACAGTATTTATTAGTAGTGGAGTCTTGGCGTCTCTTATGAGTAATTTTCCCATGTTTTCGTGTTATAGCACTTTTAGTATTGTGCAAGGCCCTAGAATCTGCGAACAAATTATTTCAATCAAGTCGCTGGTTCGGAACATTTAGGTTAAAAATTTTATTGTTTCGGGAGATGCATGGCGCAGCATTTGCATGATTTTTATCAAATGATTTATTCTGTTTCGTAATAACTACATAAAACCAACAGCGGAAACAGGTTTCACACATCGCCGTCATTATTTTAAAATTATTCGGGAGTGAATTGGAATGAAGGTTTTTTCGCACTTTTTTTTCTGATTTCATTATTTATTGAGATTGTTTGTCAAAGGGTTAGATTTCGTCGAGAGCTTCTTTTACTTCGGCCCTGTTAATTAATTAATTAACTTTATCAAGTCCAGCGCGAAGGCACGTTACTTATAAAAATTTAACAAAGCACGTTTTCTTGTAAAATTCTAAGAAACGTCCAGGTTTCTTCAATTAACTGCAATAAATTATTCATTAAAGTGCCTCGTAGAAGCCACACGAATTTTTCAATTAAAAATTTTAACTTCTTAAAACAGCTTCATGCAGATATAAAATTTCATTTCTTCTGTGTGGATTACAAACCGGAAGTGCCACTCAAGGAATTGAATCTATAATTTTAAAATTCACAAACATATTCAAACAATTTCTTCTAATTTTATGTTGGACGTTATTCACTGTCTGTCTGTCTGTCTGTCTGTCTGTCTGTCTGTCTGTCTGTCTGTCTGTCTATCTGTGTCAATTTTTATTAGACAGATAATCTCCGAAAGTACAGGACTGCTTGTTGTTAAATTTTCTATATGTTTTTTATAAAATAAAATACTCCTCTACTTGTGGTTTATGAATCCGTGTTGAATTTTTACGCTAAGCATACAGATTTTTGCAAAAAAAATAAAGATTGTTTTACAACTTTTACAATTTAGCTTTGAAATAGCAAAATTTATCCGTTTACGCCCCCTTCCTAAAAATTGATGACGTCATGCGTTACAGTTTTGCCTAATAAATATTATTTGAACGTTAAAAAATGAATCTAGTAATGAAGTTGTGATTCATGAATCCGTTTGGAGTTTTTATTCCAGAAACGGAGATTTTCGGAAAAAAAAAATAAATTATTTAACAATTTTTCGAATATTCGTTTTTTCGGCTTTTCGAATTTTCCATTTCTCAGTTTTTCAACTTTCGGTTTTTCAATTTCTCGATTTTTGAAATTTTTCAATTTCTCAATTTTCAATCTTTCGATTTTTCAATTTTTCGATTTTTAGGTTTCTAAATTTTCGATTATTTTTAATTAAAAATTGATCACTGTTTCAATTTCTAATTATTCGATTTTTCGATTCTTAACTATTTAGATTTTTCGATCTACTTTAGACTTTTGATCTATTTTTCTATTTTTTGATTTCCCAATTTTTCTACATTTCAGTTTTGGGTTTTTGAATTTTTTGACTTTTCGGTTTATATCGATTAAATTTTTCGATTTTTCAGCTCTCCGATTTGGCACTTTTTAAATTTTTCGATTTTTTAATTTTAATTTCAAATTTATCACTGTTTCAATTCCCAGTTATTCGATTTTTCGATTATGAGCGATTTTGATTTTTCAATATACTAAAGTTTCAATTGTTCTGTTCTCAATTTTTCTACATTTCAGTTTTGGGTTTTTCAATTTCTTGGCTTTTCAGTTGTTTTATTCAATTTTTCGATTTTTTTAATGTTAGGTTTTTTGATTTCTCGTTTTTGATTTTACAGTTTTTAAGTTTTTAATTTTTCGATTTTTTAAATTCTATAGTTTCGAATTCTCGATTTGTCGATTTTTCAGTTTTTCTACATTTCAGTTTTGGCTTTTTCAATTTCTTGACTCAGTTTTTCGATTCAATTTTTGATTTTTTTAATTTTAAATTTTTCGATTTCCCGATTTCCCGTTTTTTTGATTTTTCACTTTTTGATTTTTTAATTTTTCGAAATTTTAAATTTTACATTTTTGGGTTTTCCCGCTTTTTGATTTTACAATTTTTTGTATTTAGATTTCACGATTTTTGAATTTTTTAAAGTTTCAATTTTTTGATTTTTCAAATTGTCGATTTCTCGACACCTCAACTTTTCTATTTCCCGATTTCCCAACATTTCAAAGAATTTTTGAATTTTTCGATGTTTTTTAAAATTTTCGATTTCTCGATTTTTCAATTTTTCGATTTCTCAGTTTTTTATTTTTTCGATTTTTAAATTTTAGATTTTCTGATGTTTCAATTCCTCGGTTCTGAAATTTTTCGATTTCTCAAAAATTCCAATATTTCAGTTTTGGGTTTCTTCAGCTTCTCAATTCTTTAGTCTTTCTCCCAGTTTTTAGTTTTTCAATATTTCACTTTTGGAATTTTGCAATATTCTTCAATTTTTCGAGTTTTCAATTTCTCGATTTTTTACTTTTTCTATTTTTTAAATTTTTGATTTTTAAATTTTCTATTTTTCAAAATTTTGATGTTTCTCAGTTTTTCAATTCTTCGATTGCTCAATTTTTCAATGTTTCAATTTTGGGTTTCTTCAATTTTTCGATTTTTCAATTATTCTTCCGCGTTTCAGTTTTTCAATTTTCAGTTTTAGGATTTTGCAATATTTTGATTATTCAATTTTTCGATTTTTGGATTTCTCGATTTTTTACTGTTTGATTTTTTAAATGTCCCATATTTAAGTTGTAGTTTTTAATTTTTGAATTTTCGGATGATTTTCGATTAAGAATAAGAATAAATTTCCGGTTTTTCAATTTTTCAGTTTTTAGAGTTTTAAATTTTTCAATTTCTAGATTTCTCGATTTTTCAATTTTTAAATTTTTTGGATTTTTAAATTATTCTGCACTTCCATTTTTCGAATTTTAAATTTTAGATTTTTTGATATTTTGATTTTTTCATGTTTCGTTTTTTGTTCTTTCGATTTTTCAAGTTCTCGGTTTTAGACAATTTGGTTTTCCAATTTTTAGATTTAAAAAATTTTTTGTTTTATAATTTTTCAAATTTTCGATTTAAAATGCTTCGATTTTTCAATTATCAACTTTTCGATTTTGGCCCATCTCGATTTCTTAATTTTTCGATTTTCGATTTCTCCACTTTTCCAATTTTTCTATTTCCCAATTCTTCATTTCAATTTTGAAATCTTTCAATTTCTCGATTTTTCAGTTTTTCGATTCAATTTTTCATTTTTTCGATTTTTAATGTTAGATTTTTGAATTTTTCAATTCTCGATTTCTCTATTTTTCAATTTTTCGATTTCTTAAATTTCAACATTTAAATATTTCAACATTTTAATTTTGGAAACTTCTCAAGTTCTGGATTTTTCAATTTTTGGATATTTTAATTTCGACTTTTAGGATTTTGATTTTTCAGTTTTTCGAAAAGCATTTTTTCTCGATTTTTTTCGATTTTTTAATTTCTCATTTTTCGATTTTCCAATTTTTGGGTTTCTAAACTTTCGTTTCTTCCATTTTTCGATTTCTCGATTAACTGTTTTTTTTTTAATTTTAGATTTATCACTGTTCCAATTTCTAATTATTCAATTTTTAGATTGAGCTATTTTGATTTTTCGATCTACTAAGGTTTCAATTGCTCTGTTTTGAATTTTTTGAGTTCTCAGTTTTTCTACATTTCATTTTTGGGTTTTTCAATTTCTTGGCTTTTCAGTTTTTTGATTCAGTTTTTTGATTTTTTTAATTTTAGGTTTTTTGATTTCTCGTTTTTGATTTTTCAGTTTTTAAGTTTTTAATTTTTCGATTTTTTAAATTCTGGAGTTTCGAATTCTCAATTTGTCGATTTTTCATAACTTGAACACTCGAAAAATTGCAAATCGAAAAACTGCAAAAATAGAAAAAAAATGAAAAACTGAACTCGATTTCACGATTTTTAATTTTTCAATATTTCAATTTTGCGATTTTTCGAATTCTCAATTTCTCGATATCCCAAGTTTTCATTTCTCAATTTCTCAACATTTCAACTTTGACAATTTTCCAATTTCTGGTTTCTTTACATTTTAGATTTTTCGATTTTTTGATGTGTCGATTGCTCGATCTTTCAAAATTTCAATTTTTCGGTTTTTCAATTTCACGATTTTTAAAGTTTTTGATTTCTCGATTTATCGAAGAATTGTAAATCGAAAAACAGAAAAAACAAAAAAATATGAGAAATTGAAGAACAGAAAAATTCAAGACAAGTACAAAAGAACGATATTTTCGAAAATTTAAATAGCATTTACTAGACATATTTTTTCATATTCGACAAGTAAAAGGAATTTGATGCCATTTGCGGAAAAACCAAAAGTAATATAACATCAGAACTACACTGACTTTAAATATCGGTTTTGTATTAATTAATTATTCTAATAATTGTAATATTAGTAACGAATAGCTGAATTGACAAACCGCCATTTTTAATCGTTTAAAACATTAAACCAAACGAATTGTTTAGCTCATTTAAAAACAGTTTACTCGATTTAAAAATAAATTAGATGTTCTCCGGATGAATCCTATTACAATACTTTCCTCACGTACGTTCCGGAACTGAAAACGATTAGTATTCCGGAAAACAAAAGTGAGATACCACTAAAGGTATATTTATGATTTTAGATGATTTTTTTAATGTTTAGAGCCATCAAATTTCCTACAATTTTAAAAAAAATCCATTAGGGACTAAGATCTATAATACCAATTTTGGCGACTAAATTTTTTTAGCATAGACTTTATGCTAATACAAAATAGGGGCGAAATTTGTCATCATTAGAGATAAAAGACAAATTATAAAATTTCATTTGTTACGGATTTCCGACTATGTAAAATTAACAAAAAAGACGAACCAAACGAAAACAAGGTACTTAAAAAAATCAAACGATAAATTAGCAGAATTTTGGGACTTTTGAGGACGATTTAAAATATTTTAATAGTAAGATTTTTAGGGTTCGGGTTATAAGAATCAGGAAAAATAAGTACGAACTCTACCGCTTCGTACTTTATAAAAAAAATACAAAGCTTTCCTTTTAGCCACTGTGCAAACGGCGAAGCGAGAGCAGGAAAAAACTCTCGTTCCTGATTAAACAGTATATCGGCTTACATTTTTGTAAACGTTAGTTGCGTGTTTAAGCTCGTGGGATGCTCCTAGAGAATTAATTGAAGAATTATTAATTAATTAACTTTGCCAAATTTCAAATCAATACACAAAAGAGATTAAAATCAAAGACTAAAAGCTGAGTAAATTTTTGCTACTTTGATGTAATATTAATATTTAACATATTAATCTATACGGTGTAACTTCAAAGTAATAAGTTAGACGTAACTCCTGTAAGTAACAGGTTTCGAATTCTTCCGAGGAAAAATATTTACCTCCTTTAGTAATACGCTTCTGTACACACCACGTACATAATTGGAAAATTCGATATCCCTCCCAACCCAAATCAAACAATCTCTCTAATATTTGTGCTAAACGAAAAAGTCGAAACGTATTGTTTTCCGCTATTAGAAATAACACTAAGTAAACCGAAATAAAATTGGCATTACCTATAACAGCCGACGCAGCAAACGCAATAAGAATAAAAATCAGCAGGAGTTCGAAGATGAACGACAGTTTCATCTTGGTGCGGGAACCTGTAATAGAGACCGTTTAATAATGTTGTGCAGTGAAAGCATGCATTTAAAGGGGTGAAAAACGCGCAAAATTCCCCTGCCATCTGTCAGTATAAATCAGAAAGAAATCATGCAAACTTAGTTTCCCCAATTTATGCAATCTATTGTGAACGCTATTTATTTCAAGCACATACTTTTTTAATTACTACGCTAAATCAAGATGTCAAAAGCATTTATTGTTGAATTAAATTAGCGGGGCAGGAATTTTCATTTGTCGTTTTTTATGGTTTTACACGATTAATGAATTTTTCGAGCACCGAGCTCGAATAAATGGCATTTTGTTGCGGAACTGCAACGCGGATCGCTGTCTTAGTTAACTCGAACCGGAAGTCGAGACTTTTTTAACGGCGTGTTCGAGAACGCCGACCGGATCGACACTATTGTTTCATTTTACAGTACAAAATGTTGCTTTGAGCCGGCACGAGAGACATAAAGGGCTTAAACGACATGTCCGTTTACATCTCTGCGAGCTTTTTGTCGCCAAGTCCGAGCTTATTATTAACACAAGAACTACTCACCGAGGTATTCGCAGAAATGAACAATTACTTCACAAATGCCGATGTACACTTCTTGGTCGCTGGTTTAAGTCTGTATAAAATATTTTTCACCGCTCTTCCGAAGAAATGGAGGGGCCGTATGTCGGTCAACCGAAGTTAGGTCAACACGTTCATCCGGTACACATTAACGTGAGCCATAGAAAGCATTTTCCACTCGTTTTCAATTTAATAATTATATAGAATTTCATTTTTATTTGAATGGCCACTGGAGGATGCTGCAGCGGCTTCTAGATGACACAGTTAGCGAATATCTACTCACACACACACACACAAAAAATTCATTTCACTTTTGGAAACACGTAAGGACCCTCCCAGAAATTTCAACTCATAAAAACAAAAGTGTTTTCGAAGATTCACCAGAAGCACGTACTGGACATTACGTAAGTGGTTCATTACGTCACTGAAATTTTCAAAGTTTGTTTTATATTTAAAATTCATCAAAAAGAAGAAGTAACTTTTTAATGTAAATTGGAAGAACTTTTTAAGTGTTTTAGGAGAATTTAAATACTTTTGAACGATCGACATTTCAACAAGACTTGTATAATTCGGATTATTATCTTAACTGATGTTTGGAATTTTAGTACCATTCTGAAAAGTTTCGAGAATTATCATAAATATTTTATCAATATCAACGCTATTTATGTATAAATATTCAGTTTTACAACTTCGCCAAAAAGGTGTACACCGAATATAAAACAAAGCGATAAAAGAACACGTCCATTTAACTCATATTTTATAACATAAATGTAGCTAAATAATAGTAGTGGCAACAACTAAATTCGAGATTAACATACAATTTGGCTTTAGTGGAAATAAAACACAAGTGCTGTAAAATGGGTTTCCGATTACTTGTAATTCAAATATCATACAAAATCTTTAATTTAAAAAGTAAATGCTACTTAAATTTTATAAAATGCCATTCTCGTGTACTTGTGGTTTATAAGTCTGCCTTGAATTTGTACCCTTAATATCCAGATTTTCGCCAAAAATCAAAATTGCGTAGCCACGTTTATAATCTTTAAAAAAATAACTAGATTTGTTTGATTGTACTTCAGGTTTGAAGGAACTTTTTGTAATTTTTGCGTAGTGACCCGGTTATTATCACAATGCCGACGGTCCAGACTTTTTTATTGCTCTGATCTTGTAATTCACATTTGGTTAATCAGCATCCCCTAATCTCCCCCTAGATACAGCCTTGTCTAGAGGTTATGAAATATCGAGAAAATATGAAAGTACCAAATTGCCCGATGGACTCCATTACTGTACGTCCTTTGCTTATCCTCGATAAGAAAAACAACTTGAAAGTGTTTATGTTTATACGTCGGAAGAATGTCACGTAGAAATTAGTCTGATTTGAATGAATTCGTCCCTTCAAAACAGAGGATCAAAACTGTTAAATAGTAAGCTACAATCGACAAAATGTTTGAATATCCACACATTTTAGATAGGATTTATTCGGCAAAATTTTGAGGTGACGTCATCAATTTTTTAGGGGGGATGAGCAAATACATTTTGATCAAAATTTTACCATGCTTATGATATGATAAAAATCTGGACGTTTCGGGTAAAAACTCAACACTACATGTGTAGGACTATGTTATTTTATACTATTTAAAATCCATTTACTATATACAATTTTGAAATGATGATTAGACAAATTTTGGTTAGTGTTTTACGATATACATGATATTCCTAATATAAATGCAAAATTTGACAACAATCGGCCTAGTACTTTCGGAGACTATCCGTCTAATAAAAATTCGGGACGGCAGACAGACGGACAGACAGACAGACGGAAACGGGAAACCGGTTTCTTCGTACTCTAGGGGTCATGAAAGGTCGAGAAAATGTAAAAGTAGAGAGTCGGCCGTTTTTTTCTAGACAAAACATTAAAAAAATATCTGAAAAACATTTTGGAAGCGTTAGTACGAAAAATACAATTCAAAATGAATAAATTTTGTAAATTTGCTACCTACTTTTGGAAAAACTAAAGCAAAATCTAATATATAGTGACCCCTTGTTAATTTTTCCTTAAATTTCAAAGGGTGTTAAATCACTAACAAAAATTATATAATTTGGTCTGGCGCGGAGTGTAAGGGAATTGGGTGAACGGTCAAACAATTGCTCCAAAATTATATTTTCCCATTGGAAATTGGTCCGATCAACGTTCAAGAATTCCGACACGTGAAGTACACTAATATCAAAAATATAGATCTGGATACCTAGGGAAAAAATCAAGGCGGATTGATAAACCACAAGTATAGGAAGATTATCTGGCTAATAAAAAATGACACAGTCACTATTGATTTTATTTTAAATCTTAGATTCTTCCGCTTGTCAAAACAGAATTGAATTACCATTTTACACTAAATAAAGTAAGTCACTGAAATCGAGAAAGGAGGTAAACAGAGCTAAGTTTAGCTTTTTTCTAGTTTTATGGCCAAAAAGTAGCCCCGCCCACCCACCCCTTCTTCATTCCAGTGACCACTATTAATGTTGTTCGAACTTATCTTAGCAAGTACCTACTAGCCTCTCCTACCCACCCTTTATTTTCTTAGAGGGTATGTCATTTGCCATATCAAGTCTTGTCTTACCAAGTACTAGCCCCACCCACCCACCCCTTTTTCATTCGAGTGACTCGTCTCAATATTGTTTAATCTTATCTTAGGAAGTACTTACTGGCCCCTCCCACCCACCCTTTATTTTCTTAGAGGGTATGTCATTTGCCATATCAAGCAAGTTAAAAAAAAAAAGTTAAATTTGGAACAATTAATGGCGTTTACCATGAAAAATTTTGAGGTTTGTGGGGATGATCACACAAATTTCTTTTCCGAAAACACATACAAAATTTGACAACAATCAGTCTAGTAGTTATCTGTCTAATTAAAATCGCCATAAACGACAGACAAGCGAAGGGAAACGGGAAACCTATTTTTTGATGCTATAGGAGTCATGAAACATCGAGAAAACTTGAAAGTAGCTATTCACCGGATCAACCCTATCATAATACTTCCTAAACTGTAGCTTAATAACCTATTTTTAGTTTTTACATTTATTACTTCCCGAGCGTAAGCAAAGGAAATATTGTAAACGAGTCCATTGTGCGACTGGCTATTTCCATATTTTGTCGACGTTTCATGACCCCTAGAGTACTAAAAAAGTAGTCTCCCGTTTCCGTATGTCTGTCTGTCTATTGCTTGCCTATAAAAGATTCTATAGAAAAAGGTTAAACTTAGCCCCGCCCACCCACTAAGGAATTGAGAAATCAGAAAGACGAAAAATCGAAAAATTTAGAAAGACCAAAAATTAGCATATTGAAAAATCTAAAAATTGAAGTACATAAAAAAATTTAGAAACGCCAGAAATTGAGAAATAGAATAATCCTAAAATTTAGAAATATCAAAAATTGAAAAATTGGAAACTCGAATAATCGAAAAACTGAGAAATCGAGAAATGGAAATCGAAAAATTGAGATGTCGCAAAATGGGAAAATTCAAAATTAAAAAATTTAAACGTAAAACCCGATAAATCAAAATATCTAAAAACTAAAAACTTAATTCCGAAAAATTAAAAATTCGAAAAATTGAAAATTTTAAAAATCGAGCAATCAAAAAAATATCAACAAATTGAAAAATCAAAAAACTGGAAAGTCGAAAAAAACAGAAAATCGAAAAATCGAAAGATTTAAAAATTGAAATACAAAACCTTTAAACATTGAAAATTTGAGAAATCAAAAAATTGAGAAATCCAGAAATACGAAAAATCGGAAAGTCGAAAAATTAAAAAATCCATTAATCGATAAATTAAGAAATCGATAAAAAAAATAGAAACACCAAAAATTGAGAGATTGTAAATTTCAAAACTTATGTTGAAAAACTGGAAAATCAAAAAACTGAAAAGATACGTTATTAAAAAACGGAGAAATCGAGAAATCGAAATCGAAAAATTGAGAAATGGAAGTGGATAAAATCGAAAAATTCAAAATTGAAAATTTTGAAATTAAACAAACCGATAAACCGAAAAAGTGAAAAATCGAAACATCGAAAAACTGAAACATTAATTCAGAAAAATTGAATAACCGGCAAATCTAAAAACGAGAAGGCAAAAAATCGAAAGAAAACCGTTAAATCGAAAATTGAAAAATCCGAATATGGAAAAACTGAAAAATTAATTCAGAATAATTGAAAAATCGAACAATCTAAAAACGAGAAAGCAAAATATCGAAAAACTGAGAAATCGAAACAATAAAGTGAAAAATCTAAAATTTAAAAATTCTAAACATTGAAAATTAAAAAAAAATCGAGCAATAAAACATCAGCAAATCGAAAAATCAAAAAAGTAAAAATTCGCAATATTTTGAAAAATCGAATAAGTAAAAAATTAAAAAAAAAAAAACAGAAAATCGAAAAATCAAAAGATTTAAAAATTGAAATACGAAAAATCCCAAACCTATAAACATTGAAAATTTGAGAATTCAAAAAATTGAGAAATCCAGAAATCGGAAAGACGAAAAATCGGAAAGTCGAAAAATTAAAAAATCGATTAATCGATAAATTAAGAAATCGAAAAATTTAAATACATAAAAAAATTATAAACACCAAGAATTGAGAATTTGAAAATTTGAAAACTTATGTTGAAAAATTGGAAAATCAAAAAACTGAAAAGATACGTTATCAAAAAACGGAGAAATCGAGAAATCGAAATGGAAAAATTGAGAAATGGAAGTGGCTAAAAATCGAAAAATCGAAAAACTGAAAAATTAATTCCGAAAAATTGAAAAATCGAACAATCTAGAAACGAGAAGGCAAAATATCGAAAAATTGAGAAATCGAAACAATAAAGTGAAAAATTTAAAATTTAAAAATTCGAAAAATTGAAAATTAAAAAAAAGATCGAGCAATAAAACATCAACAAATCGAAAAATCAAAAAACTCAAAAATCGAAAAATGTAACATTTAAAAAGTCGCAATATTTTGAAAAATCGAATAAGTAAAAAATCCAAAAAACAGAAAGTCGAAAAGTCTAAAAATTTAAAAATCGAAATCTTGAAAAATCCCAAAATTGCAAAATCCCAGAACTTAAACAGAGAAATCGAAAAATTGAGAATATAAAAATCCGAAAATTAAAAAATGATTAATCGAGAAATTGAGTAAAACGCAAAATCCAAAAATTTAGAAACGTCAAAAATTGAACAATTGAAAAATTGAAAAACTGGAAACTCGAATAATCGAAAAACTGAGTAATCGAGAAATGGAAATCGAAAAATTGAGATGTCGAAATAGCTGAAGATCGAAAAATGGGAAAATTCAAAATTGAAAAATTTAAACGTAAAAACCCTATCAATCGAAATATCGAAAAACTAAAAACTTAATTATTCCAAAAATTAAAATTTTTAAAAATCGACCAATCAAAACATCAACAAATCGAAAAATCAAAAAACTGAAAAATCGAAAATGTAAGATTTAAAAAGTCGCAATATTTTGAAAAATCGTATAAGTAAAAATCCAAAAAACAGAAAGTCGAAAAATCTAAAAATTTTAAAATCGAAATACTTATTGAAAAATCCCAAAATTGAAAAATCCCAAAACTTAAAAATTGAGAAATCAGAACGGCGAAAAATCGAAAAATGGAAAAATAAAAAATCGATTAATCCATAAATTCAGAAATCGAAAAATCCAAAAATTTAGAAACGCCAAAAATTAAGAAATTGAAAAATCCTAAAATTTAGGAACGTCAAAATTTGAAAAATCGAAAAATTGGAATGTCGAAATAGCTAAAGATCGAAAAATGGAAAAATTCAAAATTGAAAAATTTAAAATTAAAAACCCATTAAATCGAAATATCGAAAAACTGAAAAATTAATTCCGAAAAATTAAAAATTTGAAAAATTGAAAATTTTAAAAATCGAGCAATCAAAACATCAACAAATGGAAAAATCAAAAAACTGAAAAATCGTATAAGTAAAAAATCAAAAAAAAAAACAGAATGTCGAAAAATCTAAAAATTTAAAAATCGAAATACATATTGAAAAATCCCAAATCTTAAAAACTGAGAAATCAGAAAGACGAAAAATCGAAAAGTGGAAAAATGAAAATCGTTAGAATGAGAACAGGTATGTGGGCGGGGCTAGTATCTGTTAAGATGAGAGTGATTTTGCTAAATAACATACCCTCTAAGAAAATAAAGGGTGGGTGGGCGGGGCTAGTACTTGCTAAGATAACACTGATTGTAGCAAACGACATACCCCCTAAGAAAATAGAAGACGGTGGGTGGGGCTAGTACTTGTTACGATAAGATTAATTTTGGTAAAGGACATATCTTCGAAGAAAAAAGAGGGTGGGTGGGCGGGGTTAAAACTTGCTACGATAGGCCTGAACAATACAGTAGTCACTGGAACGAAGAAAGGGTGGGTGGGCGGGGCTACAACTACTTTCGGTCATTTTTTTTTAACATTGTATACAAATTTCATCAAACTTTTGGCAAAACTTTAACCTCAATTAAAAGATTAAAACTTGTTCATGGTTTCCATCCAAAACGTCGATGACATTATTTCAGAAAAATCATTGAAAAAATTTTAATCGAAAAATACACATTGATATAGCCTGTTATCTGGATATCTGGAATATTAATTTATTCTTTTCGAACTGTTGAGGCAACTCGTGACCTGACTTGTTGAGGCAAGTTGTATCAGAAACAACTGAATGTTATTATTATTATTATTATATTTAAATTTCAAATTAATTGCAAAAAAAATTACAAAAATCAAAATCTAAATTTTTTTTTCAAAATCTTAAACGTTAACCAAAATTCGGTGTCAATCCCCTCCAACAAACTGATGACGTCGCGGCAAAAGTTTGCTAAGCAAATCTGGTTTGAGATAAGTAAACTAGTTCCAATATTAAACACAAAATTATTAATAATTCGCTACTGGTATCGTTTGCTGTCTGCTTGAATTTTATTTAAATTAATAAAAAATGAGCCATGTTAAAAAAGGAAAAGAAATCGTGAAATTAAAAGTTAAAATTAAATCAACAAAGTTTGTTCGCCTGAAGGAATCACAAATGTAATATACACTTCTTATAAGTCTGTATAAATAACACAGTCAACATCGACGAAAAGTCAAGGCTTTTATGAAAATTCGTTTTCCTCGTATTAGTTGTGCCGAGTTCACACTGCGTAATATGCATTACATGACGTCATCAATTTTGTTGGAGGACATAACCCTAATTTTAATTTTAATTTTCAGTACCATTATCTGCGTGAGAAACCCATCAAGCCCAGATGGTTTCGTTTTCATAATTCGATCTAGTCAGGTGTGCCTCCGTCTGTGAAAGGCCACTGGCACCAACAATAAGGTGAAGAACTGGGTGACCCAGTAACCTCCATCACGGCCAAGGACCGAAGACCATCGAAGATCCTCGTGTCTAGCATACTAAAGCCCGGTTACCGTTTCTCAGCTAAGCCACTGTTGGCACTGACCAACTCAAACCGTTGCAACATGCATTGCGTTGTATCACGATTCGTCGTACTTCTTGTTATATTCACGTATGTGTCTTCCACCAACATCTTGGGTGAGTTCACACTGGCATGTTATTAATCCATCTAGTGCGATAACGACTAACAACCTAAATTCGGTCACTGTATGTGTAAGCGTCGGGTTATGCGGCGTATCACTACTTTGTTGGATAAGTTGTTATTATAAACATTAAATTTTGTGAAGGTGTAGTTGCTATAAAAACGACTGTATTACTTAGAAGAATACTGACAATAAAAGCATTATGAAGGAGATCGTCCACTAATGGGAGATTATAGGCCAAGGACATTCGTCTCGAGGAGAGTACAAGAAAGAGGATTTCAGAGAGTTATTGTGGTTCACAATGCACCCGTGGATCCAATTTTCTAGAACAAAAATTCAGAGTTAAACACCTTCACGTTGGCTTCTTTAATAATAGAGTAGAACGAACAAGAATGAGTCGAGATAGTTGAACGAAAATTTGTTAAATCTAACTTTTGTAGAAAATGTTTCGGCAAGATTAGTACGATATTAATGAAGTTGGAATTAATTTTTAACAGGAGAACGTAGTTTAAAATTAATTTCATTAGATGCTTTTCAAGATCAAGATTTACTCGTCCACAAGTTTAGAAGCTCCGCTTCATAGTTAAACTTGCTAAAGTTATAAATTGCAAGTGTCGTTATTTACTTAGTAATTAGAAAAATAGAGACGTCTTCAACTAAATTTCTAACTAAATTATTTGTCTTAAATAAAGTCGTTTTCGTTCTATGAAACAGCAATTGCAGTTGAGAGAGTCTACATAACTCTGAACATTTGTCAGACGGATAAATCGCAGAGTGAGGTTACAATTTTCAGTATGTGAAGCTCGGAGTTGCGCGAGTTCGAACAACCTAAGGCCAAATAGAAACCAACTGATTCTCATTTATTTACGATCTATTATTTACGTACACGTATTTATTTAGATCTTCGTAGTGATACATCATGAATGAGAATACAATAATCTCGGCCAATTTGCGAATAAATCTTCTTTATCGTGAAATGAGTCGGACTGACGTATTCGCCTTTTTCTGAAAAGCGACAGCTGTAAGAAAATAATCTTTATCTACAATGTTTCAGACACTTCCACGCGAACTATTATTTTGTACGTTGACAAAAGTGGTCACAGTAAGTGAGTTTCCACTTCTAAATCCAAATAGCTAAAATGCTTACCATTCAATCAAACTTTTCCTTCCAAAAATAAAAAGTAAAAACATGGCGTACTCTCGCCGAAACATCGGTTCATTTAAGGCCGAATCGGAACATATTTTAACTTATCGACAGTTTTCTGAAGAATTGGACCACATTAATATATTCTCCTTGAATTGTAATTAAAACTTCGACGTTTTTGTGCGTGGATTTTAAACTTTTTGTTTTAAGATTTATGGCAATGGGACTACGGAGGTGGGATAGAAAAAAGGGATGACAGTTCTGATTCATCGGCTCCAAGAACTTGTAAGTGTGACGGACCGTCTTGCATGTGCTGCGTCGATTTCAATCTCACCTACATCGATCTGGGCGGACCAGGTATACTCATTACAATTTCAAAAAAAGTTTTACACTAACGCCAAAAACTTGGACATGAAAAACCCCAACTTTTCCGGATACATTTTTTTGACACATGTAGGGTTTTCATCTCCAAGACCCACGTTCATACTAAACAAAATATCGATATACCCGCGGTTCTAAAAATACCACCCCTCTTCAATGTGTGTCATTTTCCATTAAAATGTGTGCAAGATATTTTGGCGCCATAGCCAATAGTTACAAAAATAAATTCACTGAAAGTAGTGTAGGTAAGCGAAGAAAAATGTTGCTTCTCCGGAGGGAATCGAACCATACGTTTACCGCTTGCCGGGCGGGTGCCCTTACCACTAGACTACGGAGGCGCTTATCTTTCTCCGCTTACCAACGTGTTATTGTGCCGCCACAGTACTATCAATCATAGGGTGCGTATTAAAAAAAAAGCTCTAAATTATTGCACTGTACCAAACTAAGCTCCCCCCTTCAAGCTAAGAACAATGGCGTTTGCAGAAAATAAAATTTTAGAAATATCGAGAAATGAGGCTTCTGAAGGTCGAAATTTACAAGAAAATGTCTTTGGATAAATGTCGAAAATGGTCGAAAATTTCCGAAATTTTTAAATTGAAAAACTTTGCTTTGAAAAAAAATCCCAAAAAATTCAGGAATTATACAAATTTAGCGTGTTTATTTATGGTCCGGGGCAAGATTTTAATATCAATTTTTATCCAGATCCAGAAAATTGCAAAGTTCTAATGGACAATTCCGGAAAATGCTAAGACTTATAGAAGGAATGGGGCGAAACTGACTTCTGTAAGAAAATGTCTTTGGTTAAGTTTTGAAAATGGTCGAAATTTTCGTATTGAAAAATTTTGCTTTTGAAAAACTTGTCAAAAAAATCGGGGATACAAATTTTGGCATTGCAAGAGTTTGGCCTTAACTAATTTCTGTAGGTCGATATTTATAAGAAAATATCTAGTTAGGTGTCAAAAATGGTCGAAAATTGGTCGAAATTTTCATGGGGAGGCGGGGTTGAAAAACTTCGTTTTTGAAAAATTTGTAAAAATTTCCAAAACATTCAAGTATGTAGATTTCGAGGTGCTGATTCCAAACAGCGTGTTCATGGTCCCGGGGCAAGAAGGGAAAAATGTTACTTTTGAAAAGTTGTCTAAAAATCCAAAAAATTCTGGCATAGGCGAATCAATAGAAATTTCGACGTCCCGATTTAATTCCAAAAAGGTAGCGTGTTTATGGTCTCGAAGCACTATTTTCGAAATATTCGGTGTGAAATTAAAATTTTTTAAAACATTCAAAAATTGGCGATTTTGAAAAAACGTTTGGAATTATCGAAGAAACGAGACCGACAGTAACTTCTAAAGCTTCAAGTCTACAAGAAACTTTATTTGGTTAAGTTTCGAAAATGGTCGAAAATTGGTCGAAGGGTATTGGAAAAATTTCAATTTTGAAAAATTGGTGTTAAAATCGCCAAAAACTTCTGGAAAATAGATCTCGACACGCTGATTCTGAAAAGATAGCGTGTTTATGATCACAGAGCAGTATTTTCGAAATATTCGGTCTGATTTTTTTTTAAATTTCGATATTTCAGTCGTCGATTCTGAAAAAACGGTTGGAATTATCGGAGAAACGAGGCCGGAAGTGACTTCTAGAGCTCGAAATCTGCATGAAAATGTCTTTAGTTAAGTTTCGAAAATGGTCAAAATTTGGTCGAATTTTTGACCATTTTTTAAGCCAAAACGAAGTTCCGATGTTGCTGTCACCAGACCGAAATCTAAACTGAACACAAGAGGTCGAAAAATGTGACCTTTGTTCAAGTAGGCCACATGACAGTGACGACCTTGTACGTCACGATGAGATTGCAAAAATTATTTTTTATATTTTGGCCTCGAAATTGCACATTTTCGGGGTTAATTTAACAATGTTTAAACAAATTTATTTGTTTTTAATAATTTCGGGCTTGTAGGAAAACGGTTTTCGGTTTGAGTATCATATATTAATACTTATCATATTTAAACATTATAAATAATATTAATTATGTTTAAATATTATTCAATTATATCTTGAAAATTTATAGCTTTGGCCGGCCAACTTCATCCGTTTAGAAAAGTTTCCCAAAATTTAAACATTGTCGAGTAAACCAATCACGGAACCCGATAAATTAAAACTGAAATCGTACTTACCCGGTTTTCGGTCCTTTTTGGAAAAATATCCACTTTCGTTCGTGTTCACAGCACTAACGCAGCATATTTTCCCTGACATTAATTAACAATAAATTAGAAATTCGCGAAATCGCTCTAATTTTACGCCAAAATAACGCGACGATCTTGTCGCCATCAAACAGAAATTAAAACTGAACACACGTGACCTTTGGACAGGTGGCTCACGTGACAGTGACGTCATCGTACGTCACGATGAGATTACAAAAATTATTTTTCATATTTTTCCGGGAAATTAGAGCTCCAAGTTTACAAGAAATTGTCTTTAATTAAGTTTCGAAAATGGTCAAAAATTGGTCGAAATTTGAAAAAGTTGTCGAAAAATCCCATAAAAATTCAAGGTTGTAGATCCCTACGTACTGATTCCAAACATATAGTATGTTTAGAGTCACTAAGCAATAATATACAATAATAATATTCGGAGCAAAATTCGAATTTTTTGAAATTTTTAAAAATTGCGATATCTCAATACGCGATTCTGGAAAAACGGGTTAAGGTATCGAAGAAACGAGGCCGAAAATGATTTCTAGAGCTCTAAATCAACAAGAAAATGAATTTAGTTAAACTTCGAAAATAAGTAGTCAAAAATTGGTCGAAATTTGAATAAATTTTTTCAATTGTATTGGAAAAGGTTGTCTAAAATCCCCAAAAAAATCTCGACGCACTGATTCTGAAAAGATAGTGTGTTTATGGCCACGGAGCAGTATTTTAGAAATATTCGGCCGAAAACAAAATTTTGTAAAGATTTCAAAAATTGCGATATTTCCATCGGCGATTCTGAAAAAATAGTAGGAGTTATGAAGAAATAGGACTGAAAAAAAATAAATAAATAAATATAAGAAAATGTCTTTGGTTGAGTTTTGAAAAAGTCGTCAAAAAATTCCCAAAAAAATCAGTGCTGATTCCAAAAATATAGCGTGTTTATGGTCCCGCGGCAAGATTTTTTAAATATTCGGTTTGAGAGGACAAATGAGGCCAAAACAAACTTCTGTAGGTCAAAATCTACAAGAAAATGTCTTTGATTAGGTTTCGAAAATGGCCGAAATTTTCATATTGAAAACTATTTCTTTTGAAAAAATGATCAAAAAATTCAGGGATCTAGACGTGCTGATTCCAAAAATAAAGCCTGTTTGTGGCCCTGAAGAAGGATTTTAGAAATATTCGGTTTGAAAATATGTATATATTTTTTATAACCCAAAAACCTGCAGTATTCCAGTGGATTATTTTGGAAAAATGAGACCGAAACTAACTTCTGTAGGTCGAAATCTATTAAAAAATCTTTAGTTAGAATAAGTTTCGTAAATTATCCAATTTTGGCCAAAATTTTTACAAAAAATTTCGCTTTTGAAAAAAATTTCCAAAAAATTCAAGGGAATAGATTTCGACGTGATTCAAAAAATATACGAACTTCTGTGGCTTAAAAAATCTATAAGAAAATGTCTTTAATTAACTTTCAAATTCAAATTCACCAAAAAAATTGTTTTGTCAAAAATTGACCGAAACTTGCATGGTGAAGGGTGGTAATTTTTATTTTGTTCTAAAATAATCGATAAAGTAGTTTTAAATAGTGTTTTTTCAAAATACAGCCAAACCAAGCCGGTAGCATGGATTTTTGTACTTTAAGAGCTATGAAATTGTGTCTGATATCATCGGTGACAGTAACAAGACCACAATCTATTGTTGTCTACTAATCAAAATGCCATTAAATTCAACCTTTACGCCATTTCGGCATCAGTGAGAATATGAGTAGCTGAAACTGATTCAAGTCTGGTTTTGTATATGCGACTTGAAACCAGCTCGTTTCAGAAGCACATCTTCGTTCATTATTAATATGCGATATCGGAATTGTTGGCGTCTGTTAACGCCTGATACTTCACTCTACATTCTACTTCAGCAATCCGTATGTACCGAATCCGATTCATCATTGCAGATGTCAAAGCAAATGTAACAAGATAAAAATTGCTTAGCAACGAAATTCCACGAATTTTTAACGAACTAGCTTTGTTATACTGCATGACATTATTTTGAGTGTGAAAACAATATTTGTTATCATGTCGTATCACCTAATACAAAGAGAAATTTATTTTTTATGTGGTAAAATTTTTATGATTATTATTTGAGAGAGACACCGATATCGAACTGCCCCTAAATCGATGTCTCTGTTGACATATAGCTGCGCTGCAACATTTCTCATGTTCGAAATTTGACATGGTTTTATATGATATCGAATTTCGATATCCAAAAGCAGCTTACATGTATACAGCGCTCCTAAATCTATTGCGTTTAATTTCGTTCTAAATTGTTAATAAAATGAGTGACTGGATGTCAGTTCTGTAATTCCAGCTTTAATTAAATTTTACAATTGTAAAAGTGCGAGCGCAGCAACATTTAGTGTATTTTCCGTTTACCTTGAGAAATATTTGCATGTTGGTACGCTTCGCCGGAAATAACTAACATGTTTCTTATAACTTTTTTCTTTTAATTGAACGTGTTTAGATTTATAAAGAGTGCTTCAATTTGTAATTCTGTTTGTGTGAATTTTTTATGTTTAGGTTGTGTTCGAATGAAATACATTTCGCAGGATGAGGGTATAGCTGTCAACGTATCCTATGGGGAAAGTCTTCTACACAGCGAACAAGTGAAAAGGCCTAATCCTCCACCAACTTGTATGGCCCTGCTAGCTAATTTAGCGCAAGTATGTGCTCGCTTTTCTGACTTACAACCCCACAATGATGGACTGCGAGGTTGTTTACTATTAGAGCCTAAATTGTTGGGAGATGTAACAACAAGTTTTAATATTGGGTGTTTTACGATGGGACCCGAAGGCATGAAAGTGGAAGAAAACGCCAATTCCACCTTCACGTCACTGCTACAGAATGAAAGCGGAAACACCACGGAAACCCAGTAAGTTCAAGTGCGAGCATTAGCTTAAATGGTGACAAACTGCCTCACTTAATTTATTTTATAATAAATGAACAAAGGTCGCACAATTTCTCACAATGTGTGTATTAACCATCAATAAACTAAAGTGCAGGAGAATTGTAACTAAATGAAGACGAAAACAGCAGATCTAGTGATCGGACTAGCATCTGCATCGCGCACTCTATCCCCACTTTTAATATTTCTATTGTAATTGTCAAGTGGTTTCCACTGCTATTAAACTATTTCATCCTGTAAATATTACATATTGTGTTGAATGAATATATCTCTGCGCAGTTTGTCACCATCCATGAGCTGACCCTCGTTTGAAAAATGAGCCGAAATAACTAAATAAAAACTTTAGAAAGTTTTCCTAAGTCCCCTCAAAATAAGTAGTTGCGGAGAATGGAATCAATAACGCGTTCTGTACAAGCGGTGACTTATTTCCAGGAGCGAATCGGAAGGACTAAATGAAGAGGAACTAATAGCCGCTGTAAATGAGTCGGCAGAACAAGGTCTTGTTTTCTTCGGGAATCTACTAGGTCTAACTTTCGGGAAACCCCAAACCAATGAGACTAATGCTGAAAGCGTCACTTCTGTTACAAATACAAGCAATGAAACTTCAGCAACATAAACAGCATTGTTGATATTCATCGATAAACAAATTACCGATTGTATCTTCCATTATTTATTGTAGCGTTCAAGCTATCCTCTTACTATGTAGCTATTTATTTAATTATAAACGTTTTCCATTTACGTATTTAATCTGTTTTCAATATCACCCTCCACCAATAGAAATCAAGACGAGCAAATCGCTTCGAAAACAATAAAGCTCAAATTTCTAATTAATTTTCTTGTGATTTAAATTGCGACTTGACGTATAAAGGTATAATTTTTCAAATTAAAAACGGAAAATTGAATCTTCGGTACACAACTGTCATCCGATATTTTTGAAAGTCACACGGGCAATTAATATACACGATCAAGTCACCTTGGTGCGGCCCGGTCCGCAAAGCGGCCCGTCCCGCCGACCGATTTTAACGTGTATGCACGTCTGCACGTCAAATATATCATATTTATAAAACTAAAATCTAGAACGAATATGAAACCCTGGAAGTTGGTTTTGCGGAATTTGCTTCGTAATTAAGAAGAATAGATATAGAACAGGCGCCTACTTTTCTGTGAATGTGTGGACGGTGCATGTTGTGCTTAACGGGCTTATAATTTAGGGTTGGAGTTAATGGATTACATTAAGGGTTGCAAGAGCCAAACAAACTTTTTGTCGTTATTAGTCTGCTCGTGTAGCTGAAAATTTGAATTCTTTGTTTATATACGTTTTTATACCACGTTGTTGATGTTATCGATTCTTCCCCGGTTCATTTAACACATTAATTTGTGTGTGCTCAAGTTTATGAACTTAAATTTCGGCCGTCGCAAACTGTGTTTACCGAATTAAAATATTGCTTTCGAGAATCGCAGCAAAATTTCATAACAATATTGCGGAAAGAAAAGCACTTGAGTCTCTTTGATGGTTCATACACTGTCTACAAAACCTATAACTGCTTTCAATGTACAAATACCACAAACAATTCCAGTTCAACTGAAAGCGTTGTTTTAATTTTACAAAATGTTTTTCTACACAGAACTGCAACGTTGTTGTTTTATACACGGAAAGCTTCAGTAAAAACAGTTGGCTCTGAACCCAGAAATATCCTTGATGCAACTCTAAAAATAAAAGAAATTTGTTCAAACAAACAAAAACTGTTACAGCTCATGGCAGTGATACGAACATATTAATTTCACGACGGACGTTGATTGCTCGGTGGATTTTTAGTAATTAATCAAATATGTAACATGTAGTGTGCACATATACGTTTCCTTTTAGTTACAAACTCATACAATATGACAGCACAATTTCATTTTCCGTTTGACTGTCTGGCATATTAATATTGTTTCCAGTAAACTAGTTGTGTTTCTGTATGATTGATTGCTGACCATTTTTACCATATTTGCGACACTTAAATTAACCTATGTTTCTGTTGTGTTAAAATACGCAATTCTTTACAATCAGTCCGCTTTGTAGCAAGCCCGGCAGTGAATTTTGATTTTCACTTTTCCATCCTTTAGCCCTTTTTAATTTACTTCGTGTCATAAAAATACTTGTATCCTCGTTACCATCAACATGTATGTAATTTAAACTGGAAATGGTAGCGTTTGAAATACCCCTTAGAGCTCTGGGGCAAGCCTTTTAAGATGTGACAGAAGACACGACCAAACTTTTGCGGATGATCAAAGAGAAACAACAAACGCGTCATTTAATTGTGTCAGGTTACTGGTTCTTTTGTGCATTTCAGACTGTCCAGTTGAATAAAGCGAAATTTATTTAAAACGAAAAACACTTGCAAATTACAGACAAATATAAAATAAATGGGTCTTTGCCATTTGATCAGTCGAGAATACGCCCTACAGTGTGTGTTTTTGTGACATTTAATTACATCAATTGATAAAAATGGAATGAAGGGTTTCCAGTTTTTTTTTAAAAAATGTGGTGTGAGATCTGTCCAAGTTTGAATTTGAAAGAATATTCAGCTAGATTTCGTTCTCCAGGAATCCGGCGTCTGAAGACGGTAGCGACATCTATGAGAAAGCGTGAAGACATACACAGCACCCTTACTCCACCTGCGCTTTACTCATTCTAACTTCTGAGATTAATCTTATTTGAATATGAAAACAATTCTAGTTTGTTATTACATTACAAAACACATTGAAGAGACTGTTTTGCTTAATTTTTAGTTTCCAAGCGAGTTAACTCTAATAACCGTCACTTCAGAGCTTCTAGGATACGCAAATACGAGTTGCCCGTGTCTATTTCTTATTGATACATTTGTGTTTACATTAATTAAATTTAATAGTGGAACAGTTATCATAAACTTCGTCCTGTTTTTACTTTATTTGTGGTTTTGTGGTCTGCTTTCTCTCTAATTCCGTCTCCACAAATATCTTCTACAGCAAAACAATGTATTTTAAAAGGTCGCGGCTATAATTCATGATCGGTAGTTCCATTTTGAAGACAGGTGGTAGAAAATCTAACAAGGAAAAAACGAAACCAATTGTGTGCAGCAACTGAGAAAATACAGCGTAAACAGTTAAAAATTTTAATGAACAAATATAAACAAATCTGACGCTGCGCATTGTTATCTGATGGTGCGAAAATCCGCCTTTCTGTCTATTTTCGTTCAAAAAACGACTCCACGTTTCTCGAACAACCAATAACATCGATCAAGATTTGAAGTTCGAGGTGTGCCGGACGTGTTTTTTGAGTTGCCTAGCATGGATGTCCGAGGAACTAAAAAGTCGTGGAGGACGATTAGAAGTCACCCGAATTGCGCCGATCGCGCCTCTTCGGCGATCTTCGCGTCGATTCTGCGCATAGCCTGACCACGCCAGTTGCGCTGCGCGCCTAAATATTTTAATATCCTCAAGGAAAGCAACAGCCATGTTTATGACGCAATCAAAATCGGTTAGAAAACAAAAGAGAAAATAAGGCGAGTGTGCAATGTGAGGCTTCGGACCGCGGTGTCCGAGCGAAAATTTGCCAATTGTCAGATTTTGTTAGAATAATGTGTTCGCAAACTAAGAACAAACATAAAAGATTCGCTTCGAAACAATGGAGAAAAAGTTAATGTGATACTAGTTGTAGTAAGTTTGGTGTGTACTGCGTAGTTGGCTGTGAAAACGGTAACCAGTCGACGTCATACGAGTCCAGCTAAGAACATTTGCAAAATTTCGGGTGAAAAAGTTGTATTTGTTTTAAATAACGTGAAAATCGGACGAAAGTAGCGTCGGGTAAAGGCGTAGAGAGTTCACACCCAGTCTCAACGCCGTTGAAAAAGATTTGTAGTCGTAGTCACAGAACAAAAATGTCTGCCTTCATTAGTAAACCGCTAAGTGGGTGGATTCACTCGGACAAGTTAATCTCCAAACAGGGGGCCAGCTATGCTGTAAAAGTAAGAAAACTTCATTTTTATTAGCATTTCACAAGCTTTTTACTTATCATTGCGTTAATGCGCAAAAAACACTTTCTCGAACTATATATATACACATATATAGTTTATGTCCAAAATAAAAAGAAGGCAAATTTTTCAGTATGTGGGGTGTCTGGAAGTTAAAGTATCCATGAAAACCCTCAATTTCAAGACTCGATCGACTGTTGCCAAGTAAGTCTCCAAATCCTCCATTATCCCCTTCTTCTCATGACCTTCTTCTTATAGAGAGTGTATAAACAAAGTATGTGAAGCTGCCGGTTTCAAAACTGTTGATAAAAAAAGAAAAGTTGATAAAAAGGTTCTTAAAGCCATCGCGGAAGTTCCTAATATGACTCACGCAGGAGCTAATGTCTCACTAAATGTCTCTAGTTCGAGCTTGTCTCTCACCTCATTCGATGATAACAAAGTTATAGCATGCCATGATATGCCTCACATATCTTTTGCTTCAGGAGGGGATTGTGTAAGTCACAGAATTCAAGTTTTTATGTTATATAATATGTAGATTATAGGACACACTTGACTTTGTGGGGTATGTCGCCAAGGACGTCAATGACTTCCGAGCATGCTATGTACTAGAGTGTGGAGGAGGCTTAGCAAAAGATGTCATAGCGACAATAGGACAAGCCTTCGAACTCAGGTTCAAGCAGTACATGAAGCCAACACAAGTTGGGTAATTATAATTTTTACAAATTTTTGTACCATAACTCTTGTATATTGATAAAACTTTGAGAGCAACACCAAAATTGTTGTACTCAAAATCAAAAAACTATATAGCGGTAGTCGTGCGTAAAATGCGTACCTTGTATATGGGTATCTATTGCGCATGCACATTTTCCGTTATCTATTGAGAAACCACATACATGAGTATGAACAACTACAAATTTGGACTCTTAGACAAATTGTATGCGTGAATTTTTAATAAAAAAGTAAACTTATTTAGTGTTGTGTTTACGTATTAGGTATAATAATATAATAAAACATGATTTCGGTATATCATTAAAAGCAAAAATATGTTAAGTTCAGCTATTAAACTATGTCACAAAAAGTTGTCTACAGTCATTACGAAACTTAATAAGATGTCGTAAATACCTGAAGTCTCAGACAAAACTTAATAACAAAGAAACATCATTGCGTTAAAGTTTGCAAGAAATTTGTATACTATAAACCAACCTCAGACAGGGTTTAGCCACAACTGAATGTAGTAAGAAATAGGTTAACAATATTACTCAACGTCATTTCAAATTTCAATCATAACCTAACTTCCGTAAGTATGACTGTGTGTTCATAGTAAAATGGAAGTTACTTTGAATATGCCTTGTAATAAATTGTTTCAAGAAAAGCGGGAGCGGCAAATTGTAAAAAATGCATTATCTATTTTTATTCTTAGGAATAAAAGGTGACGTGTCATGGTTGAGAAATACATTATGCAAGAACAAAGAATGTCCACGATAAAACTTCAAGGAACTGATTACTTTCAGTGTAAACATATCTTATACTTCTTACTCATAGCAGTTCTACAATTTTTTACTATCTTTCTTGAAACTATTGGTAAACCATGACTAAGCGAAAATGTGTAAAACTTTGACAACAATTCTCTTTTCTTAAATAGCCCGACGGGACCTAAGGGCAAAGTTAAGCAACGCATGCGCAAGTGACTTGTCACTATTGTCACACGGACACGGCATGATCGAATTTTGGCGTTTATTTCAGACTGGCGATGGGTCAGCCGTCGACATCAACGGGCGGCGACGCAGACAAAGACTATTACAACGATTTACCCGGAAAAGTGCCTCCCGACGTAGGGCCTCCGCCCGTCCCCCCTCTCCCCACCGTGGTTCCTCCTTTCACAACTCTCCCCGCAGTCCAAAGTCCTAATTTGATAGACCTAAATTCCGACATATCAATTTTTGATACAACTCATCACGATTACGTCAATGACAGCGTTGCGTTTAAAGAAAGGGACGTTTTTGATATGCGTAAGTTGCCGTTTTGGTAGTTAAGCGTGGATTAATGTCGGATTGTTTAGAGCCGTTTACGCATCACCAGCTTCCGCCTATTCGGAGTATAGAAGATCATTTGGCTGAGCTTCAGAATGAAATATGGTTTCATGGACAGATAAGTCGGGCTGATGCTGAGAAGCTTCTCCAGAAGGATGGCGATTTTCTGGTGAGGGAGTCTCCGAATTCGGAAGGACAGTTCGTGCTTTCGGGGATTCAAGACGATACGAAGAAGCATTTGCTGTTAATTGATCCTGAAGGAGTTGTAAGTTGGTTGGGGTTGGGTTGTTTGGTTTGTTAATGTGGAGGTTTGTAGATACGGACGAGGGATCGGATGTTCAACAGTGTTAGTCATCTTATCAACTTCCACTGTGAGAATGTGCTACCAATTATATCAGCTGAGAGTGTTTTAGTACTCCGGAATCCAGTACCTCGAATATCATAAGTTTTAGCTGGTGAATATAAATTTGCCTTGCACTAGCTTCTATGTTGTAGTACTGTTGAATGCAAGTTTAGCAAATTTTTAATAGTACAAATGATATTTTTTATTTGCCATATGATAGTTATATGTATAGTGATACATATGCGTTTATTTTTGCTAAGCTTGTTTGTGAGATCTTTATTTCAAATAACTACCACAGCATAAATACAAATTGTGTGAGCGACAGTATTTTGGCACAATATATATCACGTTCATAGTCAACAATATATATACACTTGTTATACATGTAAGGAAGTGTTATGGCGCATTGTGATTTTAGTCATTAGTTTTAAAGTTCATAAAGTTTACTAAATGTGATAACACATGGCTTGGAAAGTTTAGACGTCTGACTAAGTTAGTCATATCTTTGATATACTTACATTACTCGTGATGATAAATATCGGATTAAATTTTTAAATCTTTACAAAATAAGTCGACGGAGTTGCTTTTTCTTTTACAATTTATCTAAAATTGATCTGATATGACGTTTTCACTTGTTTTCAATTGAATTAATGACCAAATGGAAGACTAGTTGTGTCATGACTCTGTAAATTTTTGACAGTTTGACATTTCTGCACAAAAAGAAGTGTTCACGTTGAGACTGAAAACGAATACAAAATAGCACTTACGTTTTTGATTGTTTTTTCGTGGTTTGTTTCTTGTTAATTAAACCATTGACTTTGCTTTTGTAATGAGTATTTTGACATTCATTACCAACATTGACGCAATTAGTATAAAATTTTACCAATAATAGTGTCAATGGTTTTAAGAAAATGACGTGATAAACTGTCAGGTTCAAATACTTGCTTGAATTTTCTCCAATTAAGTTTATTACTGTTATTGTTCAATTATGACCAAAAGTTGGGTTACTCTTCTTTTAAAATTAGGGCGAACTTAACTCATTTCCTCAGAAATTTGGATCACTACTAAGTTAATTTTTTACACAGTGTGATAATGATAAAGTGAATACATAAACTTGTTCCAAATCAATATCACATGCTTTTAATATGATTATCAGTTTATGGAATCTTTCGTACCAGTAAAATTTTTAATAACTATTATGTTATTGCTTCTTTTTTCAATCTTACATTTTAAAAATTGGTTTCTTAATTATCTTAGGATTGCTTTTTCCTAAGTTGATAAATTTTTTCTTCCACTTTGTAATGCTTTATTAGAACGTGGTATATAATATGAACACCTGAAAAACTATATTCAATAATGAAATTCAAAATTCAGACAAAGTATATACTAAAATTTTCGACAGTTTTATGTTACTTTGTGGAGAATCTTTTTGTATAAAAATGTTTCTCCTAATTTCTTCTATATTTTTATTTATTGCACCACTCCATTATTGTTTTTTTAACAACAAATTGTTCGGGCGTCTACAGTCCCCTCATCGTTCTATAATTATACATTTAAAAAATGGCGTATTGTTACGAGTTTATGAATCTTTCGTAACAGCGAACATCTTAATAACTAAATAATTATCTTATTATTCCATTTTTTAATCTTATTTTTTTTAATTCCTCAATGGTTTAAAAAAATCTTCCATTGATTAAAAAAATCTTAATTTTGTTCCTTCTTTATCTTAGGGGGTCTGTTGTTTCTTCATTATTGTAATTGTACAATAAAAACTTAAAACAACTTAATAATTGAGGCGAAGTTTTCGCTTAATTCTTCTTAATTACATTTTAAAAACTCTGCATTGTTCAAAAAAAACGTCTTAGGAAAATTGTTTACTACTTTTTCCTATACTTCTCCATAATTAAATTAATACATACATATATTTTTTCGTCCTCTTTTCTAGCAACGGGTTGTTCGGAAGTCCACGGTTTCTTCATCATCTGTATATGTTGATTGTACAATTATGAAGATATCAGATTAGATTTCTTTCCAAATTACAACTAGTTGCCTCACCAAGTTTATTTTACAGTGTGATAATAATGAAGTGGTGAATACATAAACTTCGTTCCAAATTAATAATAACATTCTTTTAATATGGTTTACGACTTTCAATTTATGAATCTTTCATAACTGTAAAACTTTAAAAGAAAACTAAATAATTGGAATATTATTTTTTTTATAATAAATTTGAAAATCCTTCAATTTAAAAAATTCTTACAAGAATTAATTACTTTTCAATTACAATGACTTCCTCAGAAGTTTGAATGAGTGAATTTCTGTTACTGCTTATTGTAATACAGCAGAGAATAAACTTGATTCCAAATCAATATAGCACTCGTTTAATATGGTTTACGATCAAATTTATTAATCTTTCGTAAATAAAACTTTAAACAACTCAATAATTGTGGCGAAGTTATCGCTTAATTTTTCTTAAATACATTTTAAAAACTCTGCATTGTTCAAAAAAAAATCTTGGGAAAATTGTCAATTTTTCGTTCTCTTTCTTTACCAACGACAGTTTCTTCGGGAGTTTCTTCATCATCTGTATATGTTGATTGTACAATCATGAAGATATCAGATTATTTTTCTTTCCAAATTACAACTAGTTTCCTCAGAAATTTCAGTCACCAAGTTTATTTTACAGTGTGATAATAATGAAGTGGTGAATGTATGTATTACATAAACTTCGTTCCAAATTGATAATAACATTCTTTTAATATCGTTTACGACTATCAATTTATGAATTTTTCGTAACTGTAAAACTTTGAACAACTACATAATTGTAGCGAAGTTATCACTTAATTCCTCTTCCATCACATTTTAAAAACTCTTCATTGTTTAAAACGAGTTTTGGGAAAATTGTTTCAAGTTTTTCTAGAATTATAACAATTTTATGGACTACTCGAATTTATGAATCTTTCGTAACAGCGAACATCTTAATAACTAAATAATTATGTTATTGTTTCCTTATTTTATCTTAATTTTTTAAATTCAATGGTTTAAAAAAATCTTCCATTGTTAAAAAAAAAAACTTAATTTGGTTCCTTATTTATTTTAGGGGGTTTGTAGTTTCTTCTTTATTGTCCAATTATGAAGATATAAGATTTGTTGTCTTTTAAAATTACAATGAATAATTTGGCTTCTTCAAAAATTTGTATCAGCGAATTTATCGTACTATCTTGTAATAATAAAATCGTGAATATATAAGGTTCGTTCCAAATCAATATAGCGTTCTTTTAATATGGTTTAGGGTCATCAATTTTTGAATTTTTCCTAAATAAAACTTTAAACAACTTAATAATTGAAGCGAACTTATCGCTTAATGTTTCTTAATTACATTTTAAAAACTCTGCATTGTTTAAAAAACGTATTAGGAAAATTGTTTACTACTTTTTCCTATGAGTACTTCTCCATAATTAAATAAATACATTATTTCGTCCTCTTTTCCAACAACGGGTTGTTCGGAAGTCCACAGTTTCTTCATCATCTGTATATGTTGATTGTACAATCATGAAGATATCAGCTTAGTTTTCTTTCCAAATTACAACTGGTTTCCTCAGAAATTTCAGTCACCAAGTTTATTTTACAGTGTGATAATAATGAAGCGGTGAATACATATAAACTTCATTCGAAATTAATAATAACATTCTTTTAATTTCGTTTACGACTATCAATTTATGAATCTTTCGTAACTATAAAACTTTGAACAACTACATAATTGTAGCGAAGTTATCACTTAATTCCTCTTCCATCACATTTTAAAAACTCTTCATTGTTTAAAACGAGTTTTGGGAAAATTGTTTAAAGTTTTTCTAGAATTATAACAATTTTATGGACTCCTCGAATTTACGAATCTTTCGTAACAGCGAACATCTTAATAACTAAATAATTGTTATTGTTTCCTTATTTTATCTTAATTTTTTAAATTCAATGGTTTAAAAAATCTTCCATTGTTAAAAAAAAAAACTTAATTTGGTTCCTTATTTATTTTAGGGGGTTTGTAGTTTCTTCTTTATTGTACAATTATGAAGATATAAGATTAGATATCTTTTAAAATTACAAAGAATAATTTGGCTTCTTCAAAAATTTGTATCAACGAATTTATCGTACTATCTTATAGTAATAAAATCGTGAATACATAAGGTTCGTTCCAAATCAATATAGCCTTCTTTTAATATGGTTTAGGATCATCAATTTTTGAATTTTTCCTAAATTAAACTTTAAACAACTTAATAATTGAAGCGAACTTATCGCTTAATTTTTCTTAATTACATTTTAAAAACTCTGCATTGTTTAAAAAACGTATTAGGAAAATTGTTTACTACTTTTTCCTATGAGTACTTCTTCATAATTAAATAAATACATTATTTCGTCCTCTTTTCCAACAACGGGTTGTTCGGAAGTCCACAGTTTCTTCGTCGTCTGTATATCTTGATTGTACAATCATGAAGATATCAGATTAGTTTTCTTTCCAAATTACAACTAGTTTCCTCAGAAATTTCAGTCACCAAGTTTATTTTACAGTGTGATAATAATGAAGCGGTGAATACATCAACTTCGATCCAAATTAATAATAACATTCTTTTAATTTCGTTTACGACTATCAATTTATGAATCTTTCGTAACTATAAAACTTTGAACAACTACATAATTGTAGCGAAGTTATCACTTAATTCCTCTTCCATCACATTTTAAAAACTCATCATTGTTTAAAACGAGTTTTGGGAAAATTGTTTAAAGTTTTTCTAGAATTATAACAATTTTATGGACTCCTCGAGTTTACGAATCTTTCGTAACAGCGAACATCTTAATAACTAAATAATTATGTTGTTGTTTCCTTATTTTATCTTAATTTTTTAAATTCAATGGTTTAAAAAAATCTTCCATTGTTAAAAAAAAACTTAATTTGGTTCCTTATTTATTTTAGGGGGTTTGTAGTTTCTTCTTTATTGTACAATTATGAAGATATAAGATTAGTTGTCTTTCAAAATTACAATGAATAATTTGGCTTCTTCAAAAATTTGTATCAGCGAATTTATCGTACTATCTTGTAGTAATAAAATCGTGAATACATAAGGTTCGTTCCAAATCAATATAGCCTTCTTTTAATATGGTTTAAGATCATCAATTTTTGAATTTTTCCTAAATAAAACTTTAAACAACTTAATAATTGAAGCGAACTTATCGCTTAATTTTTCTTAATTACATTTTAAAAACTCTGCATTGTTTAAAAAAACGTCTTTGGAAAATTGTTTACTACTTTTTCCTATGAGTGCTTCTCCATAATTAAATAAATCCATACATATATTTTTTCGTCCTCTTTTCTAGCAACGGGTTGTTCGGAAGTCCACGGTTTCTTCATCATCTGTATATGTTGATTGTACAATCATGAAGATATCAGATTAGATTTCTTTCCAAATTACAACTAGTTGCCTCACCAAGTTTATTTTACAGTGTGATAATAATGAAGTGGTGAATACATAAACTTCGTTCCAAATTAATAATAACATTCTTTTAATATGGTTTACGACTATCAATTTATGAATCTTTCATAACTGTAAAACTTTAAAAGAAAACTAAATAATTGGATTATTATTATTTTTATAATAAATTTTAAAATCCTTCAATTTAAAAAATTCTTACAAGAATGAATTACTTTTCAATTACAATGGCTTCCTCAGAAGTTTGAATGAGTGAATTTCTGGTACTGCTTATAGTAATACAGCAGAGAATAAACTTGATTCCAAATCAATATAGCACTCGTTTAATATGGTTTACGATCAAATTTATTAATCTTTCGTAAATAAAACTTTAAACAACTCAATAATTGTGGCGAAGTTATCGCTTAATTTTTCTTAAATACATTTTAAAAACTCTGCATTGTTCAAAAAAAATCTTGGGAAAATTTCAATTTTTCGTTCTCTTTCTTTACCAACGACAGTTTCTTCGGGAGTCTAGGGTTTCTTCATCATCTGTATATGTTGATTGTACAATCATGAAGATATCGAATTACTTTTCTTTCAAAATTACAACGAGTTGTCTCAGAAATTTGAAACACCAAGTTTATTTTACAGTGTGATAATAATGAAGTGGTGAATACATAAACTTCGTTCCAAATTGATAATAACATTCTTTTAATATCGTTTACGACTATCAATTTATGAATTTTTCGTAACTGTAAAACCTTGAACAACTACATAATTGTAGCGAAGTTATCACTTAATTCCTCTTCCGTCACATTGTAAAAACTCTTCGTTGTTTAAAACGAGTCTTGGGAAAATTGTTTAAAGTCTAGAATTATAACAATATGGACTCCTCGAGTTTATGAATCTTTTGTAACAGCGAACATCTTAATAACTAAATAATTATGTTATTGTTTCTTTTCTTTTTTCTTAATTTTTTAAATTCAATGGTTTAAAAAAATCTTCCATTGTTTAAAAAAAAACTTAATTTGGTTCCTTATTTCTTTTAGGGGGTTTGTAGTTTCTTCTTTATTGTTCAATTATGAAGATATAAGATTAGTTGTCTTTTAAAATTACAATGAATAATTTGGCTTCTTCAAAAATTTGTATCAGCGAGTTTATCGGACTATCTTGTAGTAATAAAATCGTGAATACGTAAGGTTCGTTCCAAATCAAAATAGCGTTCTTTTAATATGGTTTAGGATCATCAATTTTTTAATTTT